GCGCGCTCTTGCCGCTGGGCTTCGCGCCGGCGGATGTCGCGTAGTTCCTCGTCGTGGAAGAAGTTGCCGGATAGGCCGAGATAGAAGATTAGAATACCTGATGAGAATTGTAAGATGGACGATTGTGATGACCATGCTGCCTCAGTGGTAGGCCCATATGCTGCGAGCCATGATCCAAGGCAAGTTGCGTTGCAAATCTGAAAACTGAAGCCAAGCAGCCACACCGCAATGTGCACCGGTGACATGGAAGGCTGAAGATAGGGGAACATAACAGCGCGGTAAGAATAGTGAATCACCTACATGCCATCCAACGTTAGCCTCCATTACTTACTTACTTGCTCCTCATGACGCTACCTCGGGTAGGTAGTCAAGCCTCCCCCTCAACGGCAATACGCACGGGAGCATAACGAATTGGGGAATTATACTTACAAACAGACCCGCAAGCACTTTATTCTGCCACGGAAGATCGTCGATTCCATGCTGTTCAGGAAGAACTTTCATCAGGTACAGCAGTGTCAGAAAACCAGGTGCCTCCATTGTCAACCAGCCAATGCGGCCGGGGAGGTTAAGACGGCTTGTGACTGAGGTTTTGCCCATGCCGTACCAACTGGTAAGCCATTGTATCGAACCAATCTGAGAGTATTAGAACATGTATTATTTCACGTGCTCTTTTTATAATGCTTACAATTGGGTAAGATATCTGCCAGACTTTGAGGATCAGGTCGTAGTTCTCCCGAGTGGGTGGTAACCACCCTTCGATAATAGCCATGATGACAGCGTCTGCGCCTCAACAACACAGCAGAATGAAGGGTTTGGTGTTAATATTTCGCTGACAAGATAGATTCAGATGTTTGTGAAGGAATTGATCAATGATGAAATTAAACATGTGTTTCCATGATGTCAATAAGGTTGAAGCGGGTACTTGTAGCTGCGCAACGGCCATTTTGACACTCTCCACCGCCTGTACAATTGGCCATAACAGTTGGATATTTAGTACATCTACCCCTGGTGTGTCCCACGAGCACAATGATGCAACTATCAGGATGTAGAAACAGCTTCCGTTGCTCTGAATTCGGTTGCGATAGTACTGTAAAACAAAATATTCACAGTAGATTCCCTTAAAGGGAACATGATTAGTCTTACGGAAGGGTGTATACAGCAACATTCAAGTTCACTCAGTCGATCTCAATCAACTGCCGTCCTCTCCAAACTCAAATATCAGATATCTGCCCGTCTTCCGAGGTCCCTTGTAACAAGGAGCAATTGAGAGCAATGAGTTATCACATGAAAAAAGTTCACAAAGTTATTCTGGTAGCTTATCACAAACTGTGGTGCTGAGCAAGCTGCATATACGCAGGGTAGGGGAGGCAAGAAAACTTGAGATGTCTATGCTAAATCATAAAAAGACTCCAGTGTATTTATTATAGACTTCATATAGATTTAATAGATCTTAGACTAGATATTTTTGGCACCTTGCCTTGAGATCAGAAGCTTTGTTACTCCCCGAGGACAGATTCAGCTGGATACAGATTCCCCTCACGCACACATCGACAGGAGTTATAAGATACTACGAATAGATGAAATGTATTCAGCTACACCCGCCCATGCTACAAACACCGTTAAACTCCTAACTACCAATTCCCAAGTCAAGACTCCGTCTCTCATATGCTCATGAAAAATCACATCACAATGCAGTCCCTCTCCCTCTGCCCACCGCCATTTACCCCTACCCCCGGACCCGAAGGCCGTCTGCCCGCAGACTGCCCAAAAGGTCTCTGCCCCACTGGCATTGACGAATTCACGCTCGCAGCAGTAGTCTGCCTCGATATCGTAGGGCTGCTGTTCGGGTGACTCGGGTGTCCGACCGGCGGCTGATACGTTCTGTCGTGCGCTGACTGCTCGTACGAAGGCGGCGCATCGTCTGCTGCTTCATCCGCTGGTCGTGACACAGGTGGTCTCGGTGGTTGAGCTGGTATGAGAGATCGCACTCTTTGGGCGGGTATTCTGGGCTGTGCGTTGGTTGTGTTTGTGGTGGGTGCGCTGACGGAGCTGTTGCGTCCTGGAACAAGTCCAGTGGCTCCTCTGGTGACGCCTCCACCTCGTGGGGCTCCTCTTGCAGGTTGTCCGCCTCTTCCTCCTCTACCTCCACGGTTGCCACGTGTTGCATTTCCTGGTTGAAAGGCTTGTTGCTCGATAAATTGCTCTGAAAGCATGCTCTCTCGTCGTCTTCGTGCCTCCTCTGCTCTATGTCTTTCCTCTTCCTCCTCTTGTAATTGCAATGCGAGGGCCAAATCTCTATCTTCCTGTTCAGCATTGGGGCTCATTGGGGGTTCATCCTCATGTCGCCCCTTTCCCCTTCGATTCTGTACTGTCGTCCATTCTCCGCCATCGTTATTGGAGTAGTTTCCTGCACTTGTCGAAGGAGCAAGACCGCCAGATCCCACAACCCGGAAGTCTCCTGAAAGATATTCGGTGTTGCCACCATTGACATCTGATAGTGTCTCCCATACGATTTCATCATGAGACTTGAATCCCGCGTCCGTCACAAGCGTGACGAGCTGCATCGACTGCGGATGACAGTACAGCGTACTGAAATGGTCATTTCGGAAAAGAATGGCAAATGTACCAGGCCGAATGGCTTTACCGATAACTTCAATGCCCCAAGGCGTAAGTTGGGTCGCGGAATTATCTAAAAATTCCTTGATTATGACAATATCTTGGTAAAGTTGCTGCTCATCCTCTGTGAGTCCACCTTCGGGGTCAGACAACTTCTGTTCGAGCTCTTCTTCTCGAAAAAGGAGATTCTGTGCGTCCTCATATGATGCGGCTTGTCGTTCCAGCGCTTCATATGCATGTTCGTTCTTTGGTGGTAGCCATCCATGAATCAACGGAATCGAGAACGTGGCATATAACCCCATTTCAGCCGTATTCTCAAAGGTTCCTGGGATCAAGTCTCCTCGCTCAGCAGGATGTAAATGTGTCAACGATGTACGCTTGTAAGCATTTATCATACTCTCTGTAGGGACAAATCGCGGGTTGACGTTCATGCCGGTATGTAAACTTTGCAGGAAGGCATACAAATCTCCAACATCTGGCAATGCATCTTCAGAACTGGTTCTTCGTGGTGACATGAGTTCGTCAAAAACAGCGTCCAGGAGCAAATTCAAACTGACTTGTTCTCTTGAGCGAAGGGTTTGCACAAGTGCAGTATCTTCGACATCGGCAGGTGTTGTCATGGTTAGTGCGTTGACCAGAGCAACAAGAGGACAAGGCCCGTTTGCATTCTGAATCAAGATTGGGGATATTCGTGGGTTCTTTGACGAGGTCGAGTCGTGCCATTGTATATTCTTAATCTGATAGGTCTCCGTCTTTCCGTCGATCGGGTCTCTGGATGCTCTCCAACTTGACGGTTGAGTTTGTAGTGTTGGTTGCCTGGGTGGCAAAGGTGGCTTCTCCTCTTCAGGTTCCTTCATAGGGCTCGGCGATGGCTCTGAATCTATCAGATTCCAATCATCGGGTGATGCTGGCCTGGCTTCTCCGGTGGCCTTGGCCTTCCCCTTGTCGGCGCCACCTACATCGTCCCAGATATTTGTGTCCCCAGTAAGTTCCGCGGAGAGTTTCATAGGTGGCGCAGGAGGTTTGTCATTTCTTCCCAGAGGATCCTCATCCCAAGCAGGTGACTCACGACCAGAGGGTAGTGATACCATACCAGGTGATCCAGCAGGAAGTGGCTCTGGTGTGGGTGTCCATGCGCCTCTAGGAGGGACATCATCCATGAGGTTTGGAATCGGTTGTGGGGCTGATGGTGCGCTCTGCACCTCTATCGCTGGTTGCCATGGGTTCGTATTAGGTTCTTCGATACCAAGTTTCGAGAATGATTCTGTCGGTGGTGTTTCTTGTCTTGAGGGAACTTTCTTTCGTAGAAAAGGGTTCGTTTCCGGTCTGTCTCCGCCTGGTTTCAACAGCGCAGGCGTCTCTTGAGATTGTTGCGGGTTATTTGGCTGTGTCCTCGCTTCTCCCCACGCCTGTTGCTCATCTTGGTTATCGAAAGCGATTCCAGGTCTGAGGGCCGGAGGAACAGCTTGCGGGTTCGGTCTATCCGTTGAAGATGCTTGTCCGTCGCGGCGGGGTCCTACATCTTCCCATCCAGGTTCGTTCCCTCCTTCAGCCCAAGGATTATTCGACATCGCTTTAACGTTGTTTGTATTTGAAGTAAGTTTAAACTTGGAAACTTCGAGTGTCAAAGTAACATGTCAAATAGAAGGTTTCAGTGTTCCGTTTGGTCCTTGTAGCTGATGCGCTGCTACCACACGCGGGAGACTGCGGGGAAGTGATTCGAAGTGGTTCTCGAAGCGCTGTGAGTTGTATGCATGAGATCGAGAAACTTAGCGACCAGATCTCTGTATCAAACGTCGTATAGAAGTGTTTCTTCGCTTGTATACGTCAATATCCAGCTCTTGAAGCTCCTCTTGATCGCAACAGCAATAGCTCGTGTGGGGAGATGTGTCGTCACTGGGTCCCGCTCTGTACGTGGCGGTGCAACATGGAACTGTGCAATTCGCTGAGAGGAGAAGCTACTATCACACAAGAAGCAACACGACTGGAGACTCTGAGTTCAATGCGAGTTTGTCTTGGTTGGAATGCGAATAATGAAGAAAGTTCAGCATGCGCTGAGCTGAAAAAGCTTGGGCGGGTGGTGGTGCCTGTATGTACCTGAGGTACGTAGACCGCGGGCGTCAAGTCTGCCCCGCCACTTGCTTACCACAGCCACGGGCCGCGAACGATGACGTGGGCCTGTCGATTCAAGTATCGAGCAAGCTGAAGAATATATACCATTCCTCTTATTGCCTCACCGCTTAGATAGGCAGCATGTACAATTCATGATTCTAAACCTGGTCCTCGCTTGTCCTTTTTTTTTGGTCAAGATTGGCTGAGAAAGATGAAGTCGCTTAAGCTAGCACTGACGATCTGAGACATGCCGACTTACACCGCGATTAACTGAGTGAGCATGATAATCTTGGATATATATTCATACTGGAACATCTATTTCGATATTTGTATTTTTATTTTTTTACTCATTTCTTATGAGGACATGAGATCTTTATCGAGTTAGTAATGTCTTAATGGACGGAGTAAGCACTCAGTTCCTCATGATCCACCAATGTCTTAGACTCAACGGTCATCCAACGCTCAGACCAAGGGTCCAATAGTCATCCAGAGAACATCTTGCGGTGGCTGGCAGTCAAAAGAAGCGATTGGTGTGCATTCTAAACGCAGTACAACAAATCTACCTCGAATTGGATCTTCTTTAAACCTCCCCTAGGAAAATACATCCTTAAGCATTAAACGCTGCTGAATGATACATAACTCGATTATGGGCGTCGTCCTCCCCTTGCTTTGCTTGCTTGCTTGCTTGTCAGGTCCGAGTTCCTTCGTCGCCATGCAGTCCCAGAAATGCCACAACGCCAACTCCTATAAGAAAAGTATATAATATCCACCTGCTCACGGCGCCATCTGTGCATGTACGTCGTTAGACTTTTACTCCAAGATTTTGCAGCCGCTCGCAAGACGGCATTGTGTATGTCTGTGCGAGTGCCATCTTGTCGGGGTCCTGGTAGAACCAGCCCTGTGCAGCATCCCTCAATCTCCGTTGGTATATCAACTCGTTCTCACACTCATTCTTGAGGTGTCTCAAGAGCTGGTGTTCAGCTGTACGGTCGAGCTTGTTGAGCTTCTTTTCAGAATATTGGGCAACTTCGTCGGGGTTAACGTAGTAGTTGACGTTCAGATTCGGTGTCGTGCGCTGCTCGGTGTACGGATGTAGGGGGTTGTCGTAGACCATGCGAGGTCCTGATGCCGATGTTGTCGAAGTCTCACCAGAGAAGAAGGATGTGATGATGGGCAGGATAAAGAACAAGATGATGGGTAGTAGACCCAGGAACGTTTGGAAAGCGTTGCCTTCGTTCTGTCGACCGCGATCAGCCTCTCGGGGTCGCGTTCTCGGCCTCGCTCCGCCAAACTGATGAACTCTGATTCCAGGACCTCCTCCAAAGTTGAAAACAAATTGAGGACCTGTGTCAAAGGCTACAACATTAGTACGAGTCTCTTCTTGCTTGTCACTTCTGCTCACCTCCGAATGGACCACCACCAAAGCCGCCTCCACCGAAGAAACGGGCAAACATCTCCTCCGGAGTCAAGTCATCCTGGAACATCGGGCCACCTCTACCCATACCACCGCCACCGGCTCGTTGATTGAAGAAAGGGTTGTTCGCCTGGGCGCTGGCGAATCGACTATCAGGATCTGTGCCGAACTTATCAAACTTTTCCCTCTTCTCTTTATCGCCTAGAATTCCAAAAGCTCGGCTGACCATCTTGAAGGCCTCGTCCGCATGAGGGTGTCCATTCTTGTCAGGGTGGGTCAGAAGCGACAGCTTCCGATAAGCCTTCTTGATTTCAGCCTCGGTACATGTGTCCTTGACGCTCGAAAGATTTAGGATGTCATAAAACGCAGTAGCCTCGCATCTTCGGATACGAATGACTGCTGCCTCTTGGTCTGGGGTGAAAGATCGTCCCTGGTTACCCTGCTTATGATCGCGAGATCGAGCCGAGCCACCCGTATCAGCTCCGGAAGCCGTTGCGCTGGGCATCGAAATTTTTGGTTATTCTGAGGTCGCTAGATGTCTGTAGAAGTTGCGAGGTACGATTCGTTGGTCGTACGTCGAGGGTTGAAGATTAAATAGGTTTCAAGTTTGGCCGTCGAGAATGCGGGAAGAGGGAAAGTGGCTTCTTTGGGAGAGAACAATGGCACAGAAAAGGGCGTCGTCGAAGAGGCGAACGCCGTATTGGTCGGGTTTGTGCTATTTGTAACCGAATCGCATGAGGAATATGAAGCAATCGAAACGTGGTTGATGTGGTGATGCAAAGGGGATGCCAGAAATCTGGTGTTTTCCAATCGGGCAATCCCTAGTTGGTCTTTGGGGGACGCCCACTCTCACCATTGAGTCCGACTCAAGGTCTCGACTCCACGTGATACCCCACCACTCAATGTCATTGTTACCAATCAGCTTACCCTGTATCACTTACACGAACTGTCAGCCAGTTGTTCAATTTACCTACGACATCTTGATGCAATCTGAAAGGTCTATCGGGGCGGTTACATCTTCTTTTGTATCTCAATTAACTTCAATAGCCCTCCCAGCTTTAACAATGCTTCCATAAGGTCGCCTTAGGGTATTAAAGCACCTACAGCTTTGGGTTGGGATACGAAGGTAAATCAGGTAGCCAAACAGTCAACCATTCTATTCTGAAGAACATATGGCTAGTTAAAAGTGTTGTATGGATATAGGTGCTAATTTTGAGTGCCTTATAGGCACAGTGATGTGAATGTGTTTTCATGCATTATCAGCACCATAGAGGTTTTTGCAATACAGTCTTAGGAGCCATATTTAAAACAAGAAACATTGATTTGTACTCAAGAAACTATTTACGTCGAGTAAGTATTTACAATAATCAGTCCCCCACGGGTCAACTCGTTCTCTTCCTTATTCCTGGCTCAAACCATGCCGACGACATCGCTTAAGCACCAATGAACTGCTTGATCTGAGGAAGAACCTTCTTGTAAGCAGTACCAGTAGTGGGCTCCATGCTGAACATGTAGTCACCCCACCAAGGGCCAGCAGCCCAGTACAACCAACCAGTCCAGACATCAGAGTTGTCGAGCAAGTGCTGCAACTCGCCCTTAAGCGCAGCAATGCATTGGGCATTAGCTCCGCCAGCAGTCTCACCAAGAATACCCTTCTTCTTGTTGGCCTTGAGCCACTGGGTAGCAGCCTTAAGGCGCTCAGCACCAATGGTAGAGCTAACGCAAGTCTCAGAGGTACCAGAGGAGTCGGAGTCGAGGTACTGGTGCATCTCGTAGATAATCTTGTTCTGAGGGTCCTTGAGGTCCTTCATAGCAGCGCCGTTGCCGCTGGAAACCCAGCTCCAGGCTCCGGTATAGGCGTTACCCTCGACGAAGATGTACTGGGAGGTTGCGCCGGCCTTGCGGATGGCGTCGACGGCGGCTTGGTTGAGAGCAGCGACGACAGAGTTGTCCATGTCGTGGTACTCGTTGTTGGTGTCGAAGATGACGAGCTTGTTGTTGGCGAAGCGCTTGGCTACCTTTTGCCACCAGACGCTAAAGTCAGAGCTCTTGATGATGTTACCGTTGAAGCGGCCGTAGTTGTGAGGGTCAATAACGGCATAGTGGCCCCTGAGTGTGTCAGTGGAGTAATGTCGAGATGGGAAGGGTAGTTACTGACTTGCTGGTGATGTGGTTGACAGTGTCCTGGAGACCCTTGAAGTAGGCCTCATCAATGGCACCGGTGATACCACTGGGAGTCACTCGCTCCATGCGGAAACCCACACGGAAGGTGTTCATACCAGTGCTAGCGAGGGTCTGCCATAGTCAGCAACACGAACAAGTTATAAGTCAAGATACTTACATCAATGGAGCTCGTGGTAGGCCAGATGTAGTCCTTGTTGAGCGTTCCAGGGAGGTTACCCTCACCAAACTCACCACCAGATTCATTGGAACCAGTGAAGAGGAACTTGCCCTTGGCCCTCGTAGTATGAGGAGCAGCCAGAACAAGGGAAGCGCCAGCACTTGCGAGAAGGAAATCGGTGAACCGCATGTTTGCTAGAAGGAGTGGATATTCGTTTATTGTTTCAAATGATTGTAAGAGGATCGATCAACGAGCCATGCAGAGCCAAGAAATACAGGAAACATGGCGAGTATATATACACATTCAGTCGGCCCAAATTGCGGTGCTACGCATAGCTTCCTTCGTAGCATGTTCATTAAGTCGGGATGTGACAAGGGCCGCGATGGCCAACCCAGACTGACTATTGATCCTCCGTGTGCCCATATAGGAATAGACTCGGTCGATTTGCACGTTTCAATAGTTTCTCCAGATGAAGTGTAGAACATGACCCAGTTTGGTGGTAACTGATTTGCCGGTGTTCCCTGTTTGTTTGGCTGAAACAGGAGCTAGGGCCCCTGATATTTCACTAACACGCCGCGCTGCCGGCACTGAACATATCGAAGCAAGAAAAGTTGAGAGGATACTCGTGGAGTAGAGTTGTATAGTATCTCTTGGCTGACATTTCAAGACTAATGACAGCAACTTTCATACTCTATCAGGGCCACTTGACTATTTTCTGAAAAAGACTTCTTTTCCTTGTAGTCCTCCTAATATGGAGTAGAACGCATCAATGACGCAACTTGTCGTACAATTATTAAAATGATCATCTCTTGTTGAAACAAGCATTTTTATCTCGTTGGTGGGATTCTTTCTCCGTTTACAACGCCATATTAAACCTCAGGTGAGAGAAGCACAGAGGTGCCGGTAGCCGTTCTGTACTGGGATAGTCACGTGTTGCAAGTCTCGGACTAACCGATCGGAAAAAACAACCCCCGGTTAGATCCGTCGCATGAAGCTTGGTGATGCCAGCCTGAAATTTCGAGGGAACGACATGTGCCAGCGATAATGCACGCGACACGGGTTCTTCTTAAGCGATCAGTGTGGAAGGGTATGTCAATTTCGGTGCTGTGATATTGTTGGGTGCTAATTTTGCTGATAGGGCCGCACTTGGTACCGTAAGCCGACGATCGATTCGATTACCGTGACCTTTCTAACATGCGATAGCCTACCCATTGTATGGCCCAAGTCATCCAGCGATAAGGTGCCTCCTGTGCGAACACAGGCTCGATCAGCTACGATTCTGCCCAACTTTGTCGGTCTCAAGTTCGAGGTGCACAATGGAAAGGATTACCATGAGGTGACCATTACAGAAGATATGGTTGGACACAAACTTGGCGAATTCTCACCGTAAGTCTCGGTCTAAGCCGACACATGAATGGTTCACTGATGGGTTATAGAACACGAAAGCCAAATATCTGGGACAAGAGGTAGAATATCAAATAGGGACTGGAATCTGGGTATACCCATGTACAAAAGACTACATGTAACATCACTAGAGCAATGATTTCAACGAAGGGATCCATTCGCATATTCAGGCGATCTATTGTAACCAGCTAAGAGTTTCCTGGTTTTCATGTTTGATATCATGTACGGACCCATATCCTTCCGTAAACGCCGAACCGTAACGCCTTGCAGTCATGTAACCAAATACGTACTCAGCGGTAGAACTCGCTACGCTTCACGTTGACACCGTACTCTCCAACAGCCATACCGAGATCCTCCATGGTCAGAACAGTCCTGTTCTGGCTACCACCTTGTCCACCACCTCCGTAGCCCGGTCGCTGGATACCCAGCGGTGCGCCTTTGGCCTGGTCCTTGCTTCCGGGCTGACCAGTTGGCTGACCAGGAATAGGGAATCCCGCGGCTGCACCAAGAGACCCCATAGGATTGTTGGTGTTTGATGATGCGCGGATTCTGCTGTACTGGTATGCATCTGCGGCGATGTCCGCGATGAACTTCTGGGTTGCTAGGGCGAGGAGTCGCGCGAGGCGTGGATCGGTCTGGGGGGGTGGTGGAAGACCGGCTTTGGTCATGTAGTAGTGTGTGACTGCATCGGGAATCTAGAGAGTGTTAGATGAGTTGAATTAGGAGTCTAGGGTGCGTACAATCGGTGCATAGTCATCCATCTTGTTCAGGAACTCTCGTAGCGAGACATCCTTGCGGGTTGGTAATCTAGGATCGGGGATCGCTGGAGCGGGCGCTTCATCAGCTGGTGCCTCTGGCGCAGGAGGGGTCTGCTCTGGCTTTTCGGGCGCATCACTAGCCATATTGAAGGATTCGATGATGCGATGTGGATTAAGATGTTGAAGTTGAAGTCAAAGCGATTGATGCTCGACGCGTTAAGAGGTGCTGTCACGTGATTCGATGTCATGGTCTAATTGTTCAGCTTGCATGAGCCGCAAAATGCCAAGAAGCTTAACGGGACTAAAGAAAGCCAACCAGGCACAATCAAATAAGCATAAACCAGCATTCGCAGTTTCTCATGTTGTATTTCCCTGCCTAATTATTCATATGCCCCTTTCATTCCTCATTGTGTATAGTGCCTTAAGCTCATTACAAATGACAGAAATAGCAGCATTCAACGCAAATAGACTACACTCTATTTTGACTTGGTACAGCAGTGAAATCAACGGATCCCTTTTCCCCAAAATCTCCAAGCCAAACGGCGACGCCATTGTAATTACCGCCTTTGTTGACCTCCCAAACCAACGCCGTGCATGCATCTCCAGAAGCCGGAGTCGTCGTGACCAAAACTATGGTCTTGTCTTGTCTTGCCTATTGGCTACTTCATCGTTACAGTGTCAAAACGTATAAGACGTGTTTTGAGAGCTTGGTACTCTCTTCGTACAGGTATCTCTGTGTCTTGTTGATCGCTTAGACGGGGAGCTTGAACTTCTTGCCCTTCATGACCTTGGTGTAGTAGATGTAGAAGAAGTCGCTGTACAGAACGGTCTGGACGATACCAGCAACGATAGCGATGGTGTCGACCTTGTGGTTAGTCTCGGCGAAGTATCGGTAGATCCAGTTGGGGATGTACAGAGCGCGGTAGCTGCCGAGAGCGAAGAGATAATGGGTGGTGATGGTCTCGGCCTCGCCGGTGCGCTGGAGCATGAAGAGCTGAGGAAGAATAGCTACAGACTCGAGCCAGATGGAGAAGGCCCACAGAATCTCGGAGATGGTGTAGTGATAGGGGAAGACGATGGCGAGGACAGCAGCTCCAGCGAGGAGGTACTGTACTCGGAAGGTGTCGACATTGGGATCGTTGGTAGGCTTGTAGGCGTTGGTCATGAGGTAGATGATATAACCTTGGGAGCCAAGGAACATGATCTTGAAGATGAAGTTGTAGATGCTATCGGTTTTGAAGAGATCTAGAGTAGGTTAGAATGCGCTGCTAGGTTCTATTGACGGGAGTCGTACCAAGATAGCGGGTGATGTAGACAAGCATGTAGAGTGTCTGCGACTTGAAGGAGATACCCGAGCAGCTCTGAAGTCGGTTAGTATAGTTGATCCATAGTGTCTGACAAGGGAGGACCAACGTTAAGCTGCACCATCTTGTGAAGCAAGATGAAAATGGAGCCGAGATGCGAGAAATCCGCTGTGCTACAGGTCAGCAAATAGCTCAAGAACCCGTCGATTCCGCATTGTCGAAAACGTACCAGCGACTCGGAAAACGTTCAAAGGCATGATTGCGGTAGTTGTGGTGGTGTTGTCGCAAAGCTAAGATAAGAAGTTTGAAGAAGTTGCAATATAGCTGCTAGAAGCGCAGCGAGTGGGAAGCGAGCGACAACCTGTCGAAGGCGGGTGAGTACGGATACAATTGAGGATCGTTCGGGACGAATGTTGGATGGTGATGGCTCGAGGGATTGACAAGGGAGCTTGGGAGAATCATGAATCTTGAAACTGAGCTTTGGCTGAAAAAGGACACGACGCGATTGCAAGCTCATTGGGCCATCCAGCTACGTAATGTCTCGCATGTGTCAGGTTGAGCGCCACAGTATTCTAGCCACAGTTCAGGGGTTTGTGGCTGTTATCACGAAGTTGTAAGCAAGGTTATGGAAAGGGACAACGAAAGTTTCTGTCATTTAATATGGGAATATTGGAACAAAATTCTCGGCCATTCGAATTTTTCTGAATCTATTTGGTGGGCTTGTGGTGAAGTCTACCACTAAGGTTTGCCAACAGCCACTCGTATGATGAAGCTGTACCTACACAAGTACACCAAGTACATGTTCTGCCAATTATCATCATAAGGCAGAGATCAGAAATTAATAATTTTGAAAAGCTTCAAAAAAGTGCCGGTAATTAGTTTGAAAACCCATTATCAAACTTAGCTTTATCGGCTCAGAACGCAGTAGTCTTTCCACCTCTCAGGGCTTAACATTTTGATGATAACTTACAAGCCATAAAGCTGAGGTTTAGCATATGTATCATACCGCGAAACATCACAATCTGCCGCAGAATGATCCGTTATGGCCCCATGACCTTACCAACACTGAATCAGTTACCTATATCAGAGGATAGTGAACATGATTATGCAGCGTGAACTATGGGTTAGGTGAATAACTTCACACGAAACAGGCTTGAATCTTCCCTCCAAGGCCATCCCTTACGCCAGGGACATCATTTTACGAATTAAAGCCCCAAAAAAATAACAACTGTTTCAAGCACAGATATCACATCACGATGGCCTCGCTTGTTTTTATGTACGGTTGCAGTATATTTACTAGACTAACCGCAGGTTTTTTGTGTTATTTTATGACGTTGCAGAACACGCAAGATGATCGAGGGCGCAGGTGCCGTTCGCCATCCAAGCAAAGTAAATCCACCAAATATGCCTGACGAATGGTAGTAAAACAATGATACATCCGTTCATAGGCACAGACAGTCCTTGTATCCCAAACATGTAAATCAGGTTCGTACAATCTCGATAATTCATCTGCATGCAAAGCAAATCACCAATGGCGAACCATGCACTTCCCTCATCGCCCTCAACTGCAACCAGTAATTGCAGCTGCGTAGTGCTCGGGATGGAGGCAGAAAACATGAGCTCCATCATAACATACCCCTGACTCTATAATGATCATCATATCCAAATTCCAGCTTTCACAGGCCGAAGATACTTCTCCAGCAAACCTCGCCGTAAGGAGCATCAAAGACCATACGCAGTCAGGACAGAGTCTTGTAACCCTATTCCCCCCAAAGACATGTTTCTCTAAGCCTAAGACCCACTGGACAAGGTCAATTGGCAGCTTTTCTTTTTTTAACTTTTTATTAAGACTGATTCAGTCTTTTCTCTCTCGAGCCACTTCAAGTTACCGAGCGAGAGGAGATATCTGAAGCGTCAACAAACGTCAGGGAGGTACCTGAGATGTTTGAAGGACGACAGATTGTGCTGCACTCTGCTTTGGGTGGCCCCTAGAGGGAACTGTAAAATCCTCCTCAAGCGCCAAAGATAACTTTGAAGAGCGGCTCAAGTAAAAGACCAGTTCAAAATGGTGCTACGCGCGATGCATAGCATACCGTAACAACTCGCCGGAACCAGGTCTTGTATTACCCAACATCAATGGCCGTATGAAATGTTCATGACCAAAGACATAGGGACTCACTCACAGCTCACAAGCCTCGGGTCGCTCTCTGAAAGTAACCCAGATCCATAGAACTGTGATGAAATAGCTTCGCCAGCTGTGACAGCCAGTCCAGGGGGTATCAAAAAGAAATATAAGAACTGATGACACCGAGTTGCCACCAAACCGTTTTTCGTGTTTTTTTTTTTTTTTTGGTACCCCTGGGGGCTATTGTGCTTTTATTTTTTTTTCGTAACTGTTGAAACAACACCGGGATCCTCTTAAGAGAGTTGGCTATCAAGTAAGCCAAATCCCAACTCGTTCGAGTCTCCTGATGATATTCCCCGCCAATCTTCTTAGTCGCAGTCGGAGTGTCGGTCGTGATAATGCATCAAGCGCTCAGCAGCCGTACCATCCCGTCAGGTCTCAAACCCCTTGGGAGATCCCGAAGACATCTGACACATCAACAATGTCAGAATATCATCGTACGATGGCCGATCGGTCTCCCGCTCTCGCAGCCCTGAGCAGCGACGGGGAACGCAGCAGATGGCATTGACCGCACTGTGAGTCTCGGCAAGAGTCGAAGGATCAGTCGTAGCAATGCAACAAGCAGTGCCCGGCACGTCGACTTTCAGCCGTCATCGTCTCTCCACAGGCTTCAAACATCTGGTGGGAGACACTCAAACGACGTTCAGCTCCTTTATGGCGAGATGGAAAACCTTCTTCATGTTCTACCTTGTCGAGTCCCGACCTGCCACTCATGAGTTCTGGCGACTGTGCTGAAATGCCCTTGACGAGAACTCAGACGAAAACGCCCCCGGCAAGCGATACATGCTCCGAGCATGTAAGAAGGCAGAGAGACGAGGTCATTCCTGTGTTGGTTTGAGCTGCGTGACTTTTGTTTGTGCCAAGAGCAATACTCCTGACAGAACAATAGAAGATTGGCTTGTCTCTTCGTTCTTCTCTTTTCTTCGTTTTTTTCTCTTTTTCTTTCTTTTCTTTTTATTTTTCATTTTCTCTCTTTGTCGGCGTCTCTTTTACTTCCTGTTGATTGCATATCATGATCCATGATGCCGCATAAAATCAAAGAGAGATTGACATCCGGAACCTCGGCAAGTGGACTAACAAGAGGGAGGATGATTAATTGACGCTGTCCGTGTACCGTACAATTCGTCGTTTGCTGGCGCGGTACGTCAACCCACTGGGACACTGTACTCCGTCGATATGGCATAGCCGAAGCAGAAAAGCTTCCCCGAAAAAACATGATACAGTCTCGTCATCTCAAAAGGTGAACGGCATATGTAAATGCGCCAAGATAGGTAACCCGGATCTCATGATGAGTGTAACGAATAAATTATAGCCGTAATTTGCGTACTGTATGTGTAGCAACCGGCATATATGATAAACAAATGTATAAGTGAATGAGTGTACAGAGTTTAATGAATAAAAGAAGGGAAGAAAGTCGATAACAAACACGACATCAAAGCATGCATGAGGAGGAGAAAAGAGTCACGTTCCAAGTGGGAGGATCTCGTCCTTATATACACGAAGAGATGTTCTCCTCAACTCAAATCCAGGGCAGAGCCCCTTCAGTTTACGTGCCTGGACACGATTATCAGGTTGGAGTTTGTATTGTGAGTTTCGAGGTAGTCACGTAATCTGAGTGTCAATGACTTACATCGAGAAAGCATGACCAATTAGGAAATAAAGAGTTCGTGAAAGTCTATACACTCTCAGGCTTCTACAACAAAGTCGTCAGAGTAAAGTTTGGTGGCAACCTATGTACGCCATCCAGGTTCGTAATAAAAGTCATGTCTGTTGTACAAATTGCTTCTGATGGCAATAAACTTTTTTATTGTCTTGAAAAGGCACATATGAACCGAAATCGGAATGTCGTATCATAGAAGCTTTGAAGCCTTTTCTGTCACTTTGAGGAGTGATTCTATGTAAAACAAGCCACATCGAGACAGAACGAACGAAGCTATGGTTAAGTGCCATAGTAGAGTAGTATGGTTCCTGTGTTACCCTCTTCTCATTCCACTTGCTTTGATTTATACAATCCTGATTCTAAAGAGCTCGCTTATACAAAAGTGAGATCGAGTCCGGAGTACGAAAGTTTGTCTTTTGAGCCAGTAGATGATGCTTATACCTATCAAGTATCGAAGTCTATTTATGCACCCCGCACATATATAAAGCCTTGAAGGTAACGTCTTGCGTTTCGAAAAGACTCATTATAGCATCATTTTCCCAGAACAATCCAGAAACGTGTATTAGTAGCAAGCCATGTTCTCAAAATGACCACGAGATGTGATCATGCCATAACATTACCCCTCCAAAATCGTACACATATATGCATGAGGCGCAACCGGAGCCGCAGGATATGATGTTGCCACTCGGCCAGAAGAGCTGCCGTACATGGAAGGAGGTTATGACCACTTGAGAACCCAAGAGAAACAAAAAGATCAAGTCATGGACATCTTAACGCCTTGATAGCGCGCCAGAGTCATAGAGGCGTCACAGGCTTGGCCACGTCAAGAAGCCAGAGCCATGATGGTCAGTCTATCATGGCAGCAAAGAAATCTCCAAAGCTTCATGGTTCTCGATGAGTAATCGGTCCATGATTATACTAAGTAAAATGGCTTGAGGTAATTCAAGCTGGTGACGCGAGATACCCTATCACTGACAAAAGCTTAGTAGATCGGTTGCTACGGACAACTCCCGAGGAGGCAATCGCTTATAATCAGTAATATGCGACTTATCCCAAGACTATAGCGTTTCTTAGATGCACTGAAAACACTGGTAACTAACATTGCTTCAATTGTGAGCCGTGTGATTGAGATAATACGGAGTGTCAAGTCTCAGTGATGGATTCAGGGGGTGCAGCTCTGAGGCATTGGCTGGTTGAGTAAAGCAAGACAGATGTCGCCGCATTACTGACTATGAAATGAATCAACCCAGAGATTGAGCCAATAGAAGTGGTTTTAATGAATTAATCGATTGCCGTGTCTTATGCTTGAAGTGATGTTTTCCCTTAATCTTAAGAGGACTTCCGGAGCTGTTGCAATGACACACAAGAGACACTTGATTCAAATATGAAGCATTCGAGGGCTACATGATATGATATAATACTTCAAACCAGTGTTTGGAAACAAGATTGATTGTAGTCGAGATTCTCATTGACATGTCTGAAGGTTGCCCTGATGGTCGACACAGGAACCAAGACACCACAAATCGAACAACACGAATAAAAGCACACTGTGGACAACTCGTTATCTTTGATATCCTATTGTACCTGTTGTTTGGGTGTCCAAGGAATGGCTGCTGTTCACATAGGTCTCTTTCACGACCGCTCTGGTCCCATTTGCCGAACAATGACAAAGGCAATCTTCCCCCAGGCAGCTTTGTCGAGATCTACATGTTCGGCTCCCTTTGAACTCGATTGTACGGACATCTACCGATGCCTTGGATACTCATTGTTTGATCAGCAATCAAGCCTAATGTTCATCCCCAAACTTCATGTGAACCATATAATGCGACATGCTGCAGATAAGTTGGGTGTCATCCCACAAGCATCAAGAATTCTCGCTCACTACAACTCAAAAACATAGTATCGAAGCCGTTCACAATAAACTTCGACAATATGCCTTCAAATCCGCACGTCTTGCATCCAGACATGGAAACAATAATTATCCTCTTGGATAAGCAACCCACCCGAATGTTTACCCGCAACTGTATTCCCCCCAAGGATCCCCCTCCAGGAACACCCGAACCCTGTGTATGGCGATGTCACGAATGCGGGCGGAAGTACAAGATCTCCGTCACAAGCCGCTGTATTAGGTGTCCTTCATACAACGATAAACCCCCTTACATGTACCTCTCGGGCAATAGCCCAGACGGCCAACCTACTAGAGAGTATCGAAAATCTCCCCTCTCAGGCAGTAGTCCAGATGGCAAATCTGCTACAAAGACCAGAAAGTCTCCCACAAACCGTACATACTCAAAACGACCATCCCCGTCAGTTTATAACTACGACTACGAGTTCTGGGGCCAATACAACGACTGGAAACGCTTTGGCTCAGAGTATGAAGCTAGGCCTGAGAGATGGGAGAGCCGCATCAAACACAATTTCGACGGCAAGGGTAGTGCACCGCGCCGAGCGGAGAGATATAAGTTTGAGGTCGAAACACGCACTTATTTCACGGAGGAAAGGCTGGAGCGCATGCTTAAAAGGAAGCATAACTGTGAACTGGACTGTGATTATCCCAGTCAGTGTCAAACAGAGCGTTATGAAGCATCTAGGAAGGGATCCCGGAAAGTCACAGGAGGCAAGGTGCACCCCCCACGGTATGGCGATGATAAGGGAAATGCAGGTAAGATGCCCCTTTGTGAGCTTTTACCAGGATTCGATCAGGAGATAACAAGTCCTGAAGACGTTGATGATGAGGATGTGATATTCGCGGCGTACAAGAGGGATGTTGATGCTTGGTATGCTTCAACTCTGGCGAGTCTAGCTAAATAACAAGGAAAACATTGAGAGGTGATGAATAGAAGAGAAGTGATTGACGGCGAGGGCTGGTATGGGACAGATATTCAGGGAATATGAGATAATGGAAAGGATAGCAAAGATCATGCAATAGGGAAATGTTTTGGGGGAGCGGATCTTGCTAGATAAACATCATTTGAGCAAACATGATAACTTCATTAATCCACATTCCTAAGACAAACAACAGATCATAACAAACCACTCGTTTTAACATTGGACTTTCGATGACTAAGCAGGAACTCGTATTTCCATGTCTACCTAATCCAGTCCATCAGCACAGCGGTTCCGTGTCGCATCTCATACCAGACCAGACACCAAGGTGAAAACACAACTGTTGTACACAGCTCGCGCAAGTCCAATTAGCACAGGGCATTTCGTCATAACGTGAACCCTCTCGTCATCGGGTATCGGCTTCTAGAGCCGACCCGAGAGCTCGTCGTGTGCCCTTTGAAAGCGCAGGCGCCCTCAGCTATCCAAGCTGTGGTCGTGCGGACGTCCGCTCATATCTCGACGCGACGCCCCCATCGAATTCGAATTCAAGAATTTCTGCATTACCATCCCATATACCGGTTTACCGCAAGTCCCAAAGAATAAAAGCAAAATAGAGCCTTAAAAGATACGTCTCTAGCCTTCAAGTGCCTTGGCCTTCTTCTTCTGCTCAACCTTGAGCAGCAGGGCGCGGTTGATGTGTGGCAGGACACCACCGTAGGCGATTGTCGCACGGATCAGAGTGTCGAGCTCTTCGTCACCACGAATGGCAAGCTGGAGGTGGCGGGGCGTGATACGCTTCACCTTGAGATCCTTTGCAGCGTTCTGTGATGAAATGTCAGCGTCAATATCAGGCAGCAACAATGACTCATGAACTTACGCCTGCCAACTCGAGGACTTCGGCAGTCAGGTACTCCAGAACAGCTGTAACATACACGGCAGCCTTGGCTCCCACACGCATCTTCTGCTGGGTGTTCTGCTTGAGGAAACGCTTGACACGACCGCAAGGGAACTGGGAAATACCACGTTAGTACGAGTTTAAACGAAACCGGCAATCCTTGATAGAAATGTTTCCCGAGCCGTCTTTGTTTGCGCATTCCGTCATGTCCCGTTTCAACTCAACATGCATACAAACATCGTCGACAGCCGCCCCAGAGTATCGGTAACCAGTTGCCGAACCGTCGCATCAGCTCAAACGCGCGGCAAGGGCCAAATGGAGGATGCGATGTCAATTTGAAAAGATTTTCTCGTCGTGCGGAGATGCTCGACGCGTCGGGAACGGATCGTGAAACTTGAAATATGTGGGATGCGGGACATGGAATGTGCGCAAATCGGTCGATAAAGCAAGTATATCCTCCTCTTCTACCTCTCAAGTTGAGACTCACCTGAAGACCAGCACGAGCAGAGTGACTCTGCTGCTTCTTGGTGCCCTCAGCAGCGCTCGTCTTGCCGCCGGAGCTCTTTCCGCCAGAAGACTTTCCCTTTCCACCAGGCATTGTCGATCTGATCGCGTAAAAAAAGTCGTAAGATAAAAGTATCAAAAATTTGGGGATGAATCAATACGGGTTCGAACGCGGTAGCCGATCGGTCGAAATGGCGATTGATGTTGTTGATGTGAAAAACGCGGGATCGAGAGTTCGTAGTGGCAGAAATTTAGCGGGCTGCGGTGCGGTGCTGATGTTGTTTCTTCAGGCAGGCTCTGGCGAAGGGCGAGTTTGCGTGAGATGCGGTGCGGGATTGGATGGTACAGAGGTACATGCCTCAGGTAGCTTCTGCTGCTGGAAGCTTAATTGCTCATTGCACTTGCCGATGAAGAAGCGCTTCTCATTGGCTGAGTGACCCGAGATAAACCCGAGCATCAAGCTGGGCCAGCAAAGGCTGTGTGAGAAGAGGACCTTGGTTAGGGATCACCAAAACATGGCTTTTGGTGCTGCAAAGTCCTCAAGAAGGGTAAATGTAGATAAATAAAAGGTGACATTGTCAAGAAAGACTTCTTTCATGCTCCTAGAGGCGTTGGCGGAGGAGCTGTGTTGATACTTACCCGGCTCATCTCATCTCTGTTTGCTGTCATGCTTGGAACGGGTTGCCGCATATTCACAGCTGTGTCTCACCCGGAGATTGTTGAATGCCGTAAAGATAATACAGCATGTACTGGTATTACCACTGGTACAGAGGCGGTATCTTGTCGGTTTCTGGCAAGTCAGGGCATCTTGTTAGACACTTGATGAAATGTCGTTGTGTATTGAACAGTTGAAACCCAGGCTCGGTTTGGAGTTGATCATGTCCCGCTGTGGCTGAAGTGTGGCTGTTCTGGGTCCCGTTAGCCGAGCATTTACCTGACTTACAACCACCGAACTGCAAATGCCATATCGTCCTTACGTAGAAATACTTTAATAATGGAAGTTGACATTATTTTTCAATAAATCTGTAAGTCGACTTAGGAGAATCACCTTACTCAGATAAGTTTATTTCATGGTGAATTGGATAGAGCCCCTCCATCTTATCTGATCAGCTCTTTCGCACCTGTCAAAGGCCTCAAGTCTTTTTGTCCCTTCGGCTTCTGCAACATTTTCCCTATGCACGCAGTGAATCATGACGGAAATGATTATCCAACATAGGCACTTGAGTTTTGGCCACAATACCTAATCCTTTTCTCTTATTGGCCTCGAATTGCAACAATCGCCGTCGATTCTCGTCGCTTCCCTTCTTAGTCTGCAAATACCTTAGCCTTCACCATGAACGCGCTTTCCACATTCAAGAGAGGAGGGAAGGATAGCCTTCTTTCCTACGTAATATTTTCACCTTCCCCCATTATCAACAAAATACTTCATAAAATTTTCTCAACTGCCGCTTGCCAGCCTTTTCACTGCATACACTTGGACCAGACCTTTTTATAGGATGGCTCGCCCTGACGACTGATTTCGCTCGGAACTCCGCAACATGAACAAGTGGGCGGAGATCCAGGTTGTCGTGCTACTTTCTATGTTGTCCAACAGGAACAAAATGTAGCATGTAGTCGCTGAAAAACTGAGATTGACCCCGGAGATGTGGCTCCATGGCACAAAGGAATACCTGGACCGCGTACTTCGCCCGTTGCTTACATGGCGGGAGCTGTCTTTCTTAGAACGTCAGTTTGAGTCTATTGACGAGTTTGATGAATTCCAGCAACATGGTTACGAGAATACCATCGTGGGCCAAGCAGAAAGTCAAGTAAGAGACCTGTTATGTCATTAGTTTATATTGTCACTAACTCATCTTTCATAATAGAAGAAACCAGCCAGCGCATGCCAAAGCGTGTACAAAGACAGAAGTCAAGAAAAAAGAACAAGCCCTGAGAATATATTAAATAACCCCGAACCAGAACTACACTGATTGTAAATTGCGCTTCAATTACACCTCATCTACCAATCAATCATCTCAATTCAAATTAAGCTCAGGAAGTATGTCACGGTAACGACCAAGCTTGATTTTATGGGGGAAAACATCTCAACAGTACTAGGGACACGTATCTTTGCTAGAGGGCATCAGCTCGAAAGTTTCATCACATATTTAGTGTAGGCTGATGTGAATTTGCAAATATGTTAGCAATGTTGATAGCAAGACTTGAAGCAGAACGCTGGTTCACACGATGATCCACAATGGCCGTATACTGCAATTACTCATAGCACCCAGTCAAACCCGAGCTGCTGCGATTGATCAATCTGTTTGAGTGAAGGTCGGGATCTTAGAATTCCAGTCTAAGGTGTAAATGAAGCTACCCTATGGAGGAGCGAGTGTAGTGAAGGTGGGAGGGGAATATAAGGAACAGACTTAGGCACTGTCTGCATTGCGCTCTGGCGCAAAAAGGCAAACGAGGGCAATATAATGATCATCATATTGGCCTTTTGCCATGATATCTTGACGGCAGTACTAAACTTAGCTATCTATTTCATTACGAGGACTTCAGAGTGTCTGTAACCAGAAAGCGAGGAATATCCCTGAGGCGGCCCAACCACCCCGGAGAAAGGATGAGCATCCGAATCTTGGATGACCTTGACAGCTTGCTTGTATTCAGAAGCAGGCTTCTATTGCCTGAATTTGAAGCCTCCGATATTCGTGGTTGGACCAGTGTTAGCTGGATCCGAACATGCAGCGTCGCTTGACGAGCAAATGTTTTATTACATATTGAACTAAAGCACCAGTGGGCATTTTGCAATTACAGTGAAAGATCCTTTCGATATAACACAGAATTACTCTCAAAATTTTCATCCTCTGATGTGTGTCCATTCAGCCTATATACTAGGAAATGCCAACTGACGGACCTGATCTATTAAACCGTTAGTCAAGTTTTTCTTGTCGTCGAGCGGCGAAACTATATGTGCCCCCATTCAACTCATGTGCGAATAAATAACAGACCCATCCCCCCAATCGTTCATATCCCTGTGCGATTGTCGGTTCCAATCAGACGGAACTCATCTATTGAACTAACAGGTAAGTTTCTGTTGTCATCTCAAGTGTCTTAAATTCAGTATTAGCCCTCACCAGCACGCCGTTTACCCTTCTTCCGGATGATTTGGGTCCTCAGGGGGTCGCCTTTGTATGACTCAACGAGCGAACGGTAAGACATCCATGATTGATGAGGTTTCCTTCCTCATAGTTCGTCAAATTGTCCCTCTGTCGTTCAAGGGATTTGGTCAATTGTTTCCCAGTGATTGCGAATTCAACCGTAGCTTTCAAGAGACACCTGTATTGTCTTAGTTCTAATTTGTAAGAATCCCCTAGCAAGTCTTGAGGATTACTTGAGAAGAGTCCTTACTTCCGACGATGACTCCATGTTGGATGTCGTGCGACTCAGAGAGTGGTATGATGAGCGCTATCAGAGAATCAATTTACCGTATTAAGGCGAAATGCAGAGGGTGAACGGAACTCAAATATTGAATGTTGGTTGTTGAAGAAGGATGAAAGATGGGGGATGAAGAAGATGGAGAATAAAGGAGGAAAAGTGAAGAAAAAGAAGAATGGATATTTTCTCCATATCATCATCCTAAGTTTGAGATTCTTTGAATATACGTGATTCACTGGAAATAGAAGATTTGATGATCAAATCATGTCAGAATGTCCATGAATGTTCCTTTATCATCCAATGTTGTCGAGGCTTATCTGAGGTCATCCAACAACTTAAAGTACTGCGTAGTAACTGGCAAGTTCGTAAATTTCTCGTTTAGTTTTATGCTGATTCCATTAAAGGGAAGGTAAGATTACGTGGGAGATGGTGTGGTTATTGCATCTTGAAGTTGAGTTACTGGATATCTGAATCCATCACCCCTGACAGCGTCCACTCAAGTCCCCAGTGCCCATTGCAATTTCCACCCCAAATCTCGAGAATTTGCATAGAACCAAAGACACTTCATTTCTTGTTGTATGAGTTGACGTGAGTGCTTAGTTTCTGGGGCAGGTTGTCGCCCCAGTGTCCAGTCTTCTCATGACCCGATTCAGGCTGGACAAACTTCACAATGGTTGGCTTGTCGATCCAGGCATAGGTATTGCCTCCAAGGAGACGCTTGGGAGCACACCCACGAGAAAGCTGAAATCGACCATGGGCGTTCAAGCGCTTGACAACATTGCTGAATCCAAAGATCGGTTTGCAGCTGGTGCATGTCTTAATCCACTTAGCCTGGATGGTGTAGCATCTATGTTCGTCCCAGTACTTGATGTCCGTCATGGCAGCCTCAAAGATCTCATCAGGATATGCCCATTCACTTGTAGGGATCTTATCTTTCTTGATAAGTTCGAGCTCAGTGATGAACTTGTGGATGGCAGGAGTCGTGGGAATGCGAAATCTTGTTGGTCGATGGGGCTGAGGGAATGCATTGAAGAACTCGTCATACTTCCTTTTGGGTGAACACCTGGCCGCTTGGGTTCTCTCTCTGCCATGGATGAGCTGGCTGCGACGTTCTCATATCGGATGTTCTTGTAGGGTCTGCTTGGCCCGGCCCCGTCTTTGGACGGGTCGGATATCGTCCAGGAGTCACTGGCGGCATTGAACTCAAGTTAGATACCCGGTGGTAGAATAGACTACGGGGTGAGATGTCGCCAGGTGATGATGGATAAAGAAGAATAACCTCAATCCTAGTGTCGGGGTGATATTGTGCAGGGGAAAGAGAAGAGATAGGTAATTTAACTAATACATAGTTTAAGATTCTAGGAAGAGGAGAAGGAAGTCTAAAGTTACTGCACTAAATAGCTGCGGCTGTTATTAATAATATCTAACGCTGGTCCTTCAGTGACAAATTCCGCGATGCATATGACAAGCTTATCCACGATGCACAACGAGAGGACAAGAAGAAGCGAACGAAAGAAACTGGGAAGGCAAGGCAACAAGCACCTCGTTGTTCGTCCTAAAGCTCATTATAAGAATCTAAACGTTGACGGCCTGATTAGGGGTGACAGTGAGGATGAGGGTGAGTGGTGGTCAACACGAAGTCCTCAAGAAGCAAGAAAGCTTCTGACCCTAAGCTTAGGTGCCAAAAATAACTAGTCTAAAAGTCTATTAACTTATACTAAATTGATCTAAAATTTCCTAAATTTACCTAAGCTTTTTTGTCATTTAGGATAAAGGACCCTAAGTTTTCTTGTCCCCCTGGACAGCGTCGCTTGACGAGGTCCGGGAATAGCTCCGTAGTATCAGCGAAAAGAGGCGAGTTGAGAGCTGAATGGCCAGTGGCCAGTGGTCAGTGGTGAGTAGCCGAGTCGAGCTGCATGCTGCAGCTGCAGCCGTAGCTGCGGGCAAGAGGCGAGGGCGGAGGCCTGCATATTGGATGCCGATAGAATGGTACTTTGGGAATGATTTCCACGGTACTGTAGATCTAGCGTCAGATCCTGTGTCGCGTTGGTGCCTGACCTTGCCTCATCGTTCACCAAGTCCTTAGACTTGATCTGCCTATTCGCGATGAGGCAGTGGCAAGTGTCATTGTGGCGATATCATGGAAGAAAGCCGTGAGGCTCAAGGCGAAAAGGGAAATGGGGCGTTGCAGCGGCTGACGCCGATCCCCCACTAGGCTTGACTGATGAAACATTCACTTCTGGTTGGTGACTGTAAACATGGGATCAAGACATCAATCAATCCTGAACCTGCTGGAGGTCTCGGGGCATGAGACATCACAACATCGTAACTGTGCCAACTTGCAATCTGTGGGTGTAGCCAGAGACGTCTCATGACCGTATTTACTCTTGTGCATCATGTTTGAATGAGACACGTGCTCTTACAAAGTGGTGGGCAACAAAAAGATTAGACAACCAAAATCATGACTTCAAACCAGGGTAGGCAAGAATCAAGCTTCATCTACAAAATTATTGCACATCTTATGCCACATGGATATCATATATGCTTAGATCGGTTCACAAAGGATGCCGCCGCGTGTTTACGCGGACAGACCAACAGAGAAAAGACCCGGGGAGGAGATCCGTCTGCCGGAGCTTCTAGAGCATTTTCACGAGGGTTCGTTCATCTTAAAAAAAGAGAGTTCAGGGGTGTCGACTGTCGGCCGCGTGATCTATGAGCCGCCATCTCCGGGGGAATGGACAACCGAGCGACGGCGAGATGAGGCTAAGCTGGGATGCCTAGGGAAGAAAAGACCCTCTGTTTTTTGTGTAGGGGACAGCGGCGAGGCGAAATAGGATGCGCTAGTAGGCTTCTCGAATTTGACAGGCGAACAAGAGAGAAAGGAGATGAGGGGCCAAGCAATGAACACCGTCCGTAGTGACATGCTTTGTTGACCACTCAATGCTTGAAGATGAGGTAGGTCTGCGACATACACGAGCTTCATTTGCAGTGTGATCCACCCGAGTTCGATATAAACAACTGAATAGACCAATACAGAAGGCAAACTCAACTGGAAAAGGTCTGAGAACAAGCTCCTCTTGCTCTTCGTCAGAGACTCAGCCCCTCCAGCTAATCAACGCTCAATTTCCAGGGACCCGGGTCCCCTCGCTCGTCTCTCCTGTGCCGTACCAGGGCTTACGGACATGGGACACGAACGGCGACCCAAAGACTGGGGAGTCCCCTGAGATCAGGTTGGGCCCCTGATATCGGCCCAGGTGGGCGGGTTAGGATGACCCTGGCTTCGTCATGGGCATTGGGAACGAACAAAGAGGGGCAGAGTTTGGAAAAAAGAAGCACTGTAGAAGTAAAAGGGGGTTCAGGAAATATTATCACCTCTTTTCATCATGAAAGAATGGGCTTGTGTCTTGCGGGCAATGACGTGTATAATATGGAATTGTGAGGATTGGCGTCTCCCAGGTGATGCATATTTTCTTTTTCCTCCCTCTCCTCTTTTTTGTTTTTGTCGAAGTTTATTCATTAGAAAGTCTTACATGCTTTTTGGTCTCCACCACTTGATTGGCTTCCCGTCCGACGGGCCGCTCGCATGTACCGCCATAGACGAGGAGAAAGAGTCCTACTAATGTGAAAGTAAAAAAAAAAAGCAGTTTAGCTGCAGTAGAGATAAGTCAGGTGCTGTTATGCTTACGCTCGGATAAAAGGTAAAGAATTATGGACATTTGATGGCCAAAGTGTCTGTCAATAAACAAGCGGTAGACGATAGCGCGTACTAAGAAAAAGCAGGGCAGTAGACAGGGTCAAGAAAAGAGCCGCAGCAGCATCATTGCACGTGGCTTTGACGATGAGGAAAAACTTAGAATAGAGTAGTCGAATTTCCGCATTAACATGCCATTCTAATTGAGGCATCTCAAATCTCCTTGGCAACCCCTGGAAACACGGTGCAAGTCGAGAGAGGGAGAGAGACATGCCATGTCACCTCGTCTTTGTCTCTTGTCTTGTCTGTCTCTTGTGTGATGGAGAATGACTTGACTGTGTGAGGGAGGTGATTACGCTGCATGAGCTAGGTAGCTAACGTTAGCATCATCCGGGGAGCTTCACTGAGCAAGCCGGGTGTGTCATAAAGGGGAGCTAAAGATACGATGCGAGATGGAGGATGGAGCAGAATCATTACAAGATGAGACGCCAGTTAGATACGATACCCAGCCAAGATTTTCCGCCGGTAATGACTATCGATCTGCGGGACTGTCTCTGTGAGTGTTACAATCGGATGCCTCAATGACAATCTCATCTCGACCCTTTTCTCACACCATTGCATCCCCTATTTCCCTTGGGTAATGAAAGTATTGGAACAGTGCTACCCAACAAGCTGAAAGGACCAGAGGTTGTGCTTCACGGGCTACCTTATCCGTACATTATATCCTGTTCTATGCTGAACTGTGACCCCAACTGAGTCAATTGCAGGCTCATGCATCACATCGAGTCAGGTCTTGACTGAGAGTCATTTCCTACCCAACTGGTAAAAATGCGGCACGCAGGCTTGAGCTGTAACCTATACGTGCAGTAGTATACCTCTAAAGAATTAGCTGGTGTTACCTGGCGATGCACGTAATACCAGATCTGAATGCATAGCGGTATGCACAACATAAAGTCGCTCCAACATTTTTGCTAGACATAAACATCCATATCCATACGTCGTCTCTTGTCGATGTCCACAAACACAAAGCAGACTCCCATCACAGTTGGGCGTGTCCAATAACAGGCGGTCCACTGAGCCTGAGCTAAGATACCGGTGTCGGGATGACGTTGCTCGCACTGTTGGAACATCTGCCACAGTTGACCTCCAGGGATAGAGCATCTGATTTGCTTCTCTACAACCATCACGAGGTGTCATTCTGCAGCCTTTCCAGAGAAGCATCAGCATCAAACATCCAATACTGTCAGCCTCTTGTGCCCTCAGCCTTTCAAGAGGCTGACTGCCTTCTCAAATCAATGCCAACCCAGTTAAAGTGGTGGCTTGAAGAAAGCCGGCCAGCCTCCCCTCGTCCCGGGCTCATCACTTAATTTTTTTTTTTTTCACAAAGCCCCCACCATGAGCTAAGAATTTAGAAGTGCATTTCGATCTAACTAAGAGTAAGTGTAGTAGGGGAGAAAAGAAAGGCTAATATTAGACACGGTACTGTTAAAAGTAGCAAGGCTTCATTAACGGTTAAGTTAACCGGTATTGCTAGCGAATTAGATACTAAATAAGTTCGAGTCTTTGAATGATACCCGACAATGAATGGATTGGATGGATCTTGAACAATGGAATGGTAAATCTCAAGGGCCATGCATCCATGGGGTCCCAGAACAACCCCTTGATGGGCATCTCAGGGGATGGGCATACTGGGGTTCCACAGTGGACTTCTGACAGCTGGAGAATAATTGAACTGCGCTGAAAACCCCACCAATTTGCGCCGGGCTTGGGGTGTTCTTCTCAGGTGGCTCATCACAGTGTGGACACTGTCCTAACGACGCCCCATCCCACCTCGTTCATATTGGAGGTCATGGATCCATGGATCCCCAGGAGGGCAAGAAAAAATACGGTGCTGCTGTGACTGCTAAAGAGTCAGGACTGAGAGGAAACCTAAAGGAACCTGAAGGGAAACTTGACGGGAAACCATTCGCCGTCCGCTGTCACCTCCCCAACCACATCCACACCTAATTAATCCCCTTCTCATCAATCCTCTCTCTTTCTTTGGTTACAACACCCCCGTCTCCCGTCTCCCGTCCGCCGTTTTCCCGTTCCAGATCATCCATCCATCACTGAGAACGTCCCGGACATTTTGCTAACTGGGACTTGTTCCATCTTTTTTCCTCTCCTTCCCTCCCCGTCCCCTTTTCTACCTCTTCCTCTAACCTCTCTCTTAAACCTCATCATTTATCCTCCTCCTCCTTCCCCTCTCCTCCCCCGATTTTTAGTCTACCTCTTCTTCTCTTCCTTCTTCCCCCTCTCGTCTCCCTCCCTTGACTACTTAGCTACCTACTCCTCCGTCATTCGCAATTTGGTTCGTCTAAACCCAACAACCCTTACGTCGACGAAATCTCCATTCGACCTTTTTTTGCACCAACGAGAAGACGAGGCCATCGCGCGAATCCAATTCCCCCTTTCGCACGACTATTTCTTGTTCATTAGTAGTCTTTTTATTAGCTACTTTTGAGACGTCGCTGGTTTCCAGGGTCATCCGCCTATTACCTTGGCTCCTAGAAATATCGAACTGCGACCATTAAGTAACGCTTTTGAGGTTACTCCGCCATTTCCTGCCAAATCTTTGAATATAGGAATTTGGTTCATTCGGCCTCCTTCGTTGTGCTGGCTGTATTTGTGCACCTTTATCGCCACCTAGGATCTCGCAGTGTCTTCGTTTTAAGCTTCGCGCATTTGTTGCCCAAGGCCTCAATCTTGTTTTAGGCATCTCGCTACACCTGACGGAACAAACTTTTGTGGTCATTGACCCTGAGGCGGAACCCCCGAACCTTGTTTCACCCGACTCTTCTTGAGCACTTTATAGACAGTTTCTTCTGCGCTTGGTACCCTCAACTTTACTTAGCTACACCGCTTTCACGACCGAGACCCACGAGCCAACGATTTGATGCCGCATTTTTAACTGCTTGTTACGCATCCCCGATACCCCCTCGCGTCCGCATTCCTGACACACTGCACATTCTGTACGTGTCAGCTTGATATAAAACCTCAAGAAAAGCAGGTGAAGTCGACTGCTGGGTAAAAACAGCAGCTATTTGCCAAGCTGGATCCCGTCATCACAATGTCGCAGCAACCGCACGATATGGGTTACCTTGACTATGGTACATCAACCAATCGCTCCCCGAACTCGAGACAGAACTATGCTACAGCCGGTGGTTTCGCTGGCCTCTCGCTACCTCGCCAGTCCCAACGCCCTTTTGATGCTCCTCTAGGTTCATCTGCCCTCTACCCTGCCGACAGGATCGGAAGTGGGTACAACCACCGTGGTATGGAGAATATGGCTGGTATGCAGGGCTACATGCTGGATAATGGTCAAGCTTGGAACTATAACACAACTGGAGTCGCTACTGTTAACGGTGCCGTGAATGGCCCTGGACGACAACGAAACGTGAACCGACGAGCCGCTCTTCCTCAGGTATGTAAATATAGAGAATTTATAGGACTATGTCTGATCAGAAACAGAACTGGACCGATCACAGCGCTCTTGGTATTCATGGCAACCATGGAGGTCTTCAGCCCTACCAAGGAGGCATGAACAACAACCCCATGTCAAATGGTGGTCTCCGTGTTGAGCACCCCGGATCTCACGGTTCCCCCACTGATCTTCGATCAAACACCTCAGACGCCGACCAGCTTATCCCTACAGCTATTGTTATTAAGAACATCCCTTTTGCCGTTCGAAAAGAGACTCTGGCTTCTATCATGCTTGAGATGCACCTCCCTCAGCCATATGCCTTCAACTACCACTTCGACAATGGCGTCTTCCGAGGTTTGGCTTTCGCAAATTTCCAGTCTGCCGAGGATACACGCATGGTGATTGAGGCGATGAACGGCATGGATGTCCATGGCCGTAAATTGCGCGTCGAGTACAAGAAGATGCTCCCTGAGGCTGAGAGGGAGAGGATTGAACGCGAGAAGCGAGAGCGACGAGGCCAACTTGAGGAGCAGCACCGTGCCCCCATGCTTCACCAGCAAAGCTCTATCCAGTCACTTGGCAGTCTTTCACAGTCTCAAGCTAGAGGACCATCGCACCTCGGCATGCTCGAGGCATCTCGTGTTCAGTCTCCCGCACTGACCATGCCAGGCGATGTTGATTTAAACGACCCCCAGACTCTCGAGTTCTACACTGAATTGGTTATGTTCCGTCGTGACGAAGCCCGAGAGGTTCTGGTCTTCCCTGCTGGTATCGCTCCCGAGCATCGACGATCCATCCACATTCTCGCACACAACATGGGCCTTGAGCATCAGTCTGTGGGCGATGGCGAATCGCGCCAGCTTACGGTGCTGAAGCGACAACAGCCATCACCCACCGCCCACATCCACAGTCAGCCAGGCACCAACCTTGACATGCATAAGCGTGGCCTCAGCCGTGCTGCTACATTTGACTTTGCTGCTGACCGTGAGACACGAGCTGCCAGCAGCAATTATTCCCACATGATGGGTCGACAGGGTCCCACTATCGAGCTTCCTGGAAGCCCTGAAGGCAACGGCATCCCCAACAACCTTCGAGCCGCCAAGAGCTTTGCTGATCTGCGATCCTTCACCCCCAGCCCTTCGCAGGCTTCTTCCAGCTACCTCGCCCCTTCGGGAATGAACAACATGGGTGGTAGCTCGACTGCTGCTCGCTTCGGTGACTACATGGGAGGTGCCATGTCACCTTCTGGCCACCCCGGCAACTCTGGTACTCCTGGACCCAAGAATGATTCTGCTCTTCTGAGTAGCCTCAACAGCCTGAACTTGGGCTATGACTCTGGCTCCATGCAGAACCAGGCGCGAAGCACTCCTGGCGCTATTGGCAGCCAGCGCCCCGGTAACAGCTCTAAGGGAGCTCCTGAGCGACAGCCTCGCGGACCTGAGTGGGAGACCAATGCCGGATTTGCTGGGCGACGTGCTAACGGCCACGCCACGCGCGGTAGTGGTGGTACGTCAACCGACACATGGAACAACTGAACGTTGGCTAACTCAAGATAGACTCGTCTGACAATGGGGCACGCGTCGGCTCAAGCTCGACCAACGCTTCGCGATATCACTGAACGTGATTCACCGGCCACCCCTTGACGGGTTAGGCTTTCGACGACCTGTGTGTCAGGCGCCGACTATAACTGCGCGTATCATTACGGATTAACGACAATGACCACGACGCATTGATATTTTGCATCGCATTTGCTTTTATGACTTGTAATACCGACATACCTGGGGAAGTGATGGCAGGAATTTCACTTGTCTTGTTGAACCCCATTGCATATAGTTTACGTGGGAACGGTTTACGACTTTTGAAGATTGTGGGGGAGACGACAGTGGCCTAAGGATGTGTGCGTGTGGCCGACTTGATGACAGTTACCGATGAGAGAGAGCATGGGATAGGATATCTGGATACACAAATGTTTTCGACACAACTGGGCAACCAAAGATGTATAAGGTCACAAACTACAGAAGCACTTGGCAGCACGCATGCACGCATAACCTGGAATACCCTCAGCACGTACCCCGACAAGACCTACGACCACTATCACTACCACCACTTGACGATTATGACGCTTTTACGACGTTACGTCTAGACAGCTATACCGGCTTCTCCTCATCAGGCTGTTCAGCGTCAGCAATGGGAGGGGTTGCCTCGGCGACTTACAACCTACTACTATACCCACCAAATCAAATAATTTCTGTCTAGGCGCTGTTCCTGGCATGACCGCGACGATGAAGACGACACATTTGGAGACGCCCGAGTCCGGCTTTTGGACCAAGGGGCACTGAAAGGGGCCGATGGACGAGTGCGATATGGGTGTTTTTTGAGTCGAAGGCCCGGCCCCGTTGGAAGGAAAAGAAAAAAGTTACAATATCTGGTTATCTGCATTACAGTTGAATTGTCTTGGTTCATGGTTCTGTTACAGTTTCTGTTTATCCTTTTTTATTTATTTTATTTATGTACGGATGGATGGGAGTGGTATTATTCTGATCTCACTTGATTAATTCTTGATCTGCCTGGTCGCGGTGACTCAAGGAGAGTTAGAGATGGGTGTTGGGATGGGATGTGCGTGTGGGCTATTTGGCTATCATTGAATGGAGAAGTTGAGGAAGTTGTAAACACGAATAAGAGAACGAGCAGAGAGAGCCAAAGAGAGATGAGATATGCCTTGCGAATAAGTGTACCGATTAAGTAGTGACGGGCTGTGCTTTGGCTGTTTGAATAGATGTTTTGCTGCGTGTATATCACCCATTGTTTTAACAGTGCATGATGAGAGTTATCTCTTAACAACGCATCATCAAGACCCACATATTTATAGCTTTAAGAGTATCTGCTCATCTTCAACTCTTACTCAATGCTTATCGAAAAAGTCAACTCGTATGATGCAACTCATAACGTTTCGCCGAGCATCAACAAGACCTGATTATTAAGACATTTCTACATCACGGGCGTTGATACCTGAAACGATCTAGTCCTTTCCTCTGATAGGGCGACCACTTTGAAACCTCATCCACCAAAAGCGACGTCGTCTCCACTTGTAAGAGAGCATTGACTGATAGTTGACGTCGTTTGTTCATCGTATTTATATCCTCTCTTGTTCTTTTTTCTTCATCATGGCGAGCTTTATCTCTTCATACCTACCGTTCGGAAGATCCAAGGACGAAAATATGCCGGCGCCTGAGAAGAATAGACAGTGGACCACGGGCCAGGATGGCCTTGATAAGCTCGCTTTTGGGGAGGGTGAAGTTCCCAAGCCGAAGGAGGGAGAGGTTTTGGTTAAGGTTCTTGCTGTTGGGTTGAATTATCGTGATACTGAAGGCATGTTGTTCTATGATATGGAAAAAGGAGGTGATACTGACCGTTGGAAGTTATCAACGGTGATTACAACCACCATGCCTCTATTCAAGACACAGACGCTCTCGTGCCTTGCTCCGATATGTGCGGCACCGTCATCCAGAGCTCGTCGCCAAAACTCAAAGTCGGCGCTCGCGTCATGTCCATCTTTAACCAGACCCATCTCACAGGCCAAGTCACCGAGAAAGACATGGCCTCCGGTCTTGGTCTCCCTCTTCCAGGCGTACTAACAGAATACCGCTGCTTCTCAGCCGATACTCTCGTCCCCGTCCCCGGTTATCTCTCCGACGAAGAAGCAGCGTGTCTCCCCATCGCAGCTGTAACAGCTTGGATGTGCATCAACGGCATGCGACCGCTTGGCCAACCTGCTGATGGAAGCAAGAAGAAGGAAACTGTTCTTCTTCAGGGCACGGGTGGCGTAGCGATTGCGGGGCTGCAGATCGCCAAAGCAGCTGGGTTAAACGTCATCATCACTTCTTCATCCGACGATAAGCTCGACCGCGCGAAGAAGGATCTCGGCGCTGACACGGGTATCAACTACCGCACGCACTGGGAGTGGCAAGAGCCCGTTATGAAGGCGACGCAGAACCACGGCGCGGACATCATCTTCGAGACAGGCGGTGCACGAACCCTGCGCAAGTCGTTTGACTCTGTTGCGTTTGGCGGACTGATCAACTGTGTCGGCTATCTCTCCGGCAAGGAAGAAGAGCAGGACACTGGCGGAAAGGTTGGTGTGAATGTCCTCGCTCTGAGAAGGAATGTCACGCTCAAGGGGATTCTGAACGGGCCGAAGGATCGGTTTGAGGAGATGGTGGCGTTTTATGAGAAGCATTCTATTCACCCTGTTGTGAGCAAGGTGTTTGGGTTTGAGGAGGCGAATAAGGCGTTGGAGTTTTTGAGCAGTGGACAGCATTTTGGAAAGGTTGTTGTGAGGGTTTCGAAGAAGGAATAGAAGAGATAGATCTACACGGGTTATGAGATGAATAGATGCTGATATAAGAGTGAGTGTCATTTGTGTTACGTCAGGCTGATATCGTGTTCGTATGTCTTTGGCCTTGGTCATCGTCTGGTGTAACACCAAGATGATCCATGTGTGTAGTTTAAACCCGAAGGCATACACACGATCAAGCGTTGTGGTTAAAGGCCTGTGTTAAGGTTTCATTATAAGTATCATCATATTGCCCTGATGAAGCCCCCATGAACCCAGAAGTGAGGACCCTCCTTGTAATGTACAAACCCAGCACCTGATTCTCCTGATTCGTGCATATACAAGCAAGTGCTTTTGTTCTACATGGTAATTACAAAGACTTTGGAACAACTCGCACATCGGAATCGATCAGGTCCAGCCTGTTGATCAACGGCGCAAAGATATAATCCTGAATCGGCTTAAGAACAAGAACAACACGGTTGATGCGCCACCCAAGCAACGGAACCAGAGCCCCGATAAATGCATCCGTGAGAAAGTGGTTCGCAGTAGCGACAATAGTAATAAGCATAGCGGCCGGCCAAAGAGGAGCGAGGATGCGCATAAGTCGATGCGGAGAGAATCGACACATACAAACTGCGAAGAAAAGTGATGTTCCAAAGTGCAAACTCGGCATCGCAGCAATAGTCAACTGAAACCGATTATTGTTCCAGACATTAGCACCTCCAGCTTTACTATGCAGAACATCAACGAAGCCATATTCCTGCGGTAGTAATCGTGGAGGAGAGCAGCGCCAGAGCGTTACAATGACGAAAGCAATAGCGTTATCGACGGCGATTGTACGACGGATGCGTTGAAAGGTTGGTGATGGGAGATATGTGTAGATGTAGATGAGGAAGAGGATGCCAATGCTGATGTGGGAGTAGTATATCTTTGCGAGGATGGGCATGAGCCATGGCTGTTGGTTCATTATGTATGATTGGAAGCATTGTTCGATATCGAGGCCGAAGAAGGATTCTAGAGTGAGTATCTGAATGGCGTGGTCTCGGGCGCGGTTGAAGATTGGTTCGTTGCCTGTGATTGCTCTGGCTGATACGGCTCGAAGGCCTTGGTAGATCCTACAACCATCAGCATATATCTACTAGTTAGCGCCATAATGAACATACCAATATGTCAAATTCCAGTACCAAATCTCTATCAAGAACGGAAACGCATTGAAGAAGCGAGACAACAGAACGAAGAAGATGTTTGGAGCCTTGCGAGCTGGACGTTCGATCTGTTGGAGGAGAGTGGGCTTCAAAGGAGGCGAGTCGACGTATCGTTGGCCTTCAACATCGTCCAGTGATTCGTTGTACGTGACTTGAGTATCTCGTCGTCTGTTGATAAGACATCCTACAGTGAAAGCGAGGACGATGACTTGAAGCTGTCAGTGAGATGAGGCTTAGGGCGTGACGTTGACTTACACACTGGTTCGACCACGTTCTTTGAAGCTACAACCATGATTGCAATGAACAAAAGTAACAGAATCCAAAGAAAAGGAAGATATTAAACCCGATTATATATGATAAGGACAAACAAATATCATGTCTATAAAAGAGGGTGATGTAAACTGTTCGTCGAGAATCTATCCAAAAAAGGGAAAGAAAGAAGGGACGAAGGATTTAAGGACAAGTGACAGAAACAAAGATAAAGTAAAGTCCTAGATATAAGGCAGGTAGATAATAAGAGAATCAAATCTGCAAGCCAAGGATAGACAAGTTGCACGAACAAGGAAACTTATTGGGGGAGTACCAAACAGGGAACAAAGCACAAGACACAGCACAACACAGCAATATTGCATGTCACTGCCATCGGAGAATAGGAACAGGAATACCGATCCTACTCTAATCACACCCGGCGCTTGACCATTTGAGGGTTCAAGGTTCTGTATTCTATGGACGTCTCAAGACCTCACATGCATGAGATATCCCTGCTCTCACAGCAAAATAAACATCCGATGAAGAACCCCCTGTCTTGTAAATCTGTGGATACTTATCGTCTAAGTCCTCACGCCTCCGCGGATGCCGTCGGACTTTACCACATCTAATTCGACCAGAAAGTCAATATCAATACTTCAAGCCTTACAATAATCTCATAGACACGTCTTGTCAACGTGTTGCAGTGGCTGAGACCTCGACACATAAGCTCACCTCAGCATCCATGCCCAATAAAAGGGTTACATAGAGTACAGTGCAATAAGCTTAACCAACATAACTGTATCCTATTCCCTGCATATTACCTCTCGAAGCTTAATGTATTCAGACACCAATCTTAGCCGTTGAGTGACTACAGCGGCACGCTTCTCCCAGCGTGACGTGTTGCCAAGTGTGAATGTGCACGCGATCATCTTCTTCAACACACAGAAGGGTTACACCTGCGGCTGAGAACCCAACATGGCGATAAGTAATTGGTTAAAAAGACAAATTGTCTGCCGCAGTGATATTGCAATTATCGTTGAATAGACGTTGTGAAAAAAAGCTTGTTTTCTCTCCCCTCCAATTTCCTATTTTTGACGTCAAGTATATACCATTATGATCGAAATGATTTCCTTTTTGGGCTGTTGTCGAATCTTCTCCGTTTGAGATAAATCCCGGCGGTTCGGCCTTGACTACCACCCCGAGATTCTCAACGCTTTCCGTGTCCGAAATCCGGAATGCGCGGAGGTTTTGGACCGGAGCTTCACTTCCTCTGATCGGAGTCAAAGAAAGGTGGGAAACCTCGGTAGATGGAGACTGGGAGCTTGGTATGATCTGATATGGCACGACTAACACACATGGAGGGCTATGATCTCATCACCAACATGCTATTCTCCAAGATATAGACAGTGAGGCTCACCACTATTCAACGGAAACTTTCTCAAGCCTACCGGTAAGCATAGATCCCATGTAGCTTAGTACGGAGTACAAGTGAGCCAAGTGGCAGCTAGGATCAGATGCCTTGTACCTGTAGCATCACATCGAACCACGGATCCGGCGCCGAGTTACCCCTTTTTCTAGGGCTGATCCGATACACGTTTAAAAAAAGCTTGTCTGACCTTAAAGGCTTAATTGACGGCGCCAGTTGTCTGCCGAGAGGCGAGAGCATGCAGCTTGCCATCACTATTAATATCCGTAGGTTCCGGTGTCCACAAGGATCATCACCTCTATCCGTCCATATTAGGCATTGCTATTCATTCTTGGTTCTTGGTTCCTGGTTCTCGTTCTCGTTCTCGTTCATCGATTAATGTCGATGTAGTGATCATACTTCTCCATATGGCTGCGTCAGAAACAGAGACTGTATATTGACATGTGTCTCCATCATATACATCTGCTTTGCCATTGATAGGCTCACGCCGAAACCGCCTCGATACATCATGAGACCCAGTAAACACAGTCGATCAAGTCAAATCTCACTCAATTAGACACGAATCATGACAGTATCCGTATCAACTCAAACATTAAATTATCAAAACTAGACCAAAGAGGAAGAAGAACAAGACATCGGTTTCCTTATCCTCTCCCCCATTTCGTCATTCCTCCGCCATCGCACCATCCTGTCCCTCCCCCCTTTCTCCAGGGTATCATAGCATTTCCATCCCAAATAAGAAGTGAAATGATTTGAAATGAACTAAAGTAAAAGTGAAGAAAGAGAAGAAAAAAAAAACGAGTCAAAGCACCAAAAGTAGCCGATTACATCCAATGCACGTTAAAAGGTTTCGCACGCCCGCAACATGATCCCAAATCCAGGCCGGCAAAAACATTACCATGACCCGAGGCCGTAAACATCTGTAACCTCCTGATAATGCACATGTATCTTATGTCTTTTTTGTCGTATTCACAAAGCGTGAATGCTTCCGAAATGCTCCCTTCCCCAGCGTCATGTACACCGTTGCTGTTGCAACTTCTAGCCTACGTCAAAGGTCTACGTTTCCGCAGACCACTTCGTTAGACAAGTCGAAAGGTTGATTGCCGAATGGTTATCGGCTACCACCTTCCTCCACAATTCTATGCTGTACACAAACAGCCCTCAATTACTCGTAGCGTCGAGGGGCACCGAACGTGTCGAGCACATGCTCGGATGTTCGAATAATCCATTCAAGCTTGGGTCTCTCGAGGTTGGCCAGGAAAGGATCCGTGGGGAAGCCATCTTGGATGCCGCCGATGAGAGGCTGGATACGTCCAATTAGGAGCTGCATGGTCTGAGTCGTACTCTTGATCACATCGCGAGCACCCTGTTGTTCCCATTCCTGTAATACGTTAGTTGAGGCTCATCATCCATGATACAGTGCGGACTTACAAAAGCGGGAAGGTTTTCAGCAAAGGCTCGGAGAGCCATTTCAATCCATTCGACTTCCTCCTTGAGACGAGCGTTGGGCTTCAGATCCTTGGAGATTGTGGCAATAACAACAAGCAACATTAGGGGTGGAAGATTCTCGAACTTGGCAGGAGGGAAGCGACTGAGGCAACGGCGGAAGATCTCTTCCTCACGTCCACTCTGGATCCACTGGATCATGGCGTCCTGGTAACGGCCCTCCTGGATGGCCTGCTCAACAATTCTGATGCGCTGCATCAAGTCGTGATCAGCCTCAGGCTCTGTCTGGTTACGCTGGCTGGCGTAGGCACCAGCAAGAGCACTGACGCTGGAGGCAGGAGCGACATAATCGGAAGCCTGTTGCGACGCTTGAGGGCTGTTCACTTGTTGAGAGCCACGGAGGTACTGGGGGCTACCCATATACTGCTGGGCCTGGCTGGCGGCCTGGCTAGGAGCTTGACTTGGGTGGTAGCTACCAGCGTGGCTGGCCTGGGGATGGTGCTGGTTGGAGCTGGCATAGCCGTGATGGGGAATGTTCTGACCGTGGCCGACGTTCTGGGGGATTCCGGGAAGTTCATGGACAGGCTGCTGTTTGAACTTGAGGAAGTCGGCCTGGAGCGCCGCCTGAGAGGCAGACATGGTTGTGACCATCTCCGATAGACGAGTGACGTGAGACAGGAGCTGGTCAATCTTGGCGGTATCGGAAGCATGCTGGGCCTTCATGTACTCAAACTGGTCATGGTATTGCTGGTGAAGCTCGCCTGCGACACGCTGCGACGCCTGAGTTGCAATGTTAGTGAAAGTCGGGGTGAGTCGCTGAGTCAATGTCGCCAGAACTTCCTGCTGCACGCTCGTAGCAACCGAGTTTCCAACGCGGTCGGAGATAGCCTTGATGAAATCGCCAGAGCGTAGGGATCGGTTGAGAGCATGAGGAAGAGAGCTCTGGATCTCCTTCTGCACGGTAGAGGTAAGATGAGGCTGCAGCTTGTTGTCGAGAAGATCGGTAACTGCGGCGCCAGCCTTGTCGCCAATGGCAGGAATGACGAGCTCAGTGAACTGGTGGTGGATCAGAGCCTCTAGGACCTTCTGAGTGTTTTCGTTCAGCACCTCCGAAACCATATCAAGGAGTTTAAGCTGGTGCTGATTGAAGTTCTCGTCACGGACGCGGATGTCATCGTCAATCTTGCCGTGAAGGTTCTTGAACGATGACTTGAGAGTCTCGCCAACACTCACGGTGAGACGAGACTCGAGTCCAGAAATGGCGGCATCCAAAGCCTCACTAGAGACAGCAGGTGTGGAGGCGTTGTTCGCAGTCTTGGCATCCTTATTGCCAGCGCGAGGTGCAGCGCCGTTAGTGGCTGTATCACCCTGGTTGGCAGCATTCTTCTTCTTTCGTGACTTTCGCTCAGGCTTCTCCGACTGAGACTCCTTGGCGGATTGGACAGGCGTTTCAGCCTCCTTCGGCTCACTCTTGGCCTTGGCTGGAGTAGCCGATTCAGGTCCACGCTGGCTAGACTCGGCTTGGGCTCCTGGGGTGGGCTGGACGTTCTCCTTGTTCGTGCCGCGGTTAACGATACGGACAACGGCGTCTCCATTGCTGGCTGGGGTAGGTGCCTCGGCGGGCTGAGGAGCCTTGAGCTTCGAAACAGTGACGACGCCCTGGGCAACGGCATCAACACCGTCGAGGACCTTGTTGTCCTTGGACCATCCGAGCTCAGTCTGCTTGACAAGGAGGCAAGCAACACCCTTTGAGTGCATGGCGTACAGCTCAAAGAGAGTGGGTTCGTCGGCATCTTGAACCATGGCAGGAGTACCAAGAATGTCAAGACTTCGCAGAATTCCCCGGTTAGCAAACGAGTACTCACGAACACCACTAATGACAGCGGTACTATCCGGCTGGGGGATGGAAGAGTCCTGAGCAATGAGTCGCTGGATATACTCGGCCTGAGATACACTCTTGAGGTTGTACTTGGGTGCGGACAAGTGCGCAAAGTAGATCGAGTTGCGCGTGGGGTGGCCAATGACAATCATGCCAGTAGCTGAGTGGTACATGACACTACAGACAGCATCCGACTCCTTGCTGTGGGGGAGGTTGAACTCCTGCACGGGCTTGCCGAGAGCAAGATCCCAAAGCTGCAGAGTGTGGTTCTGTTTCATTCCAACAATCATATATCGCAGGGCGCATCGCTTCTGGTAAGGCCGCTGCTTGTCGAGAAGAAGAACTGAAGTGGGCCAAGCCTTCTCACCTTCAGGTGTGGTGGCAAGTGTCATCAGGGGCTCCTTGACCTCGAGGTTGGTTTCAGCGGGCATGGGAGCACGCGGGTCGGAGCCCTCCTTGACAGCGGTCAGGTCTCGAACATCCCAGAACTTGACCCGACCAGACTTATCAAGAGAGACGATAACAGAGTCGTCCTGACTAAAGGTGAAGTCCTTGCCGGCCTTACCAGTGTTGATCTTCAGGGAGCACTGCTTGGCAAGGGTTTCGGTGTCGACAACGCGGTCGTGGCCAGGCTTGAACAGGTTGTTCTGAAGGATGTATGAAGGCCAAATGAGGTTGATGGACTTGCCGCGACCGACGGCAAAGTACTCGGGGTGAATTGTCGAGGTGCGGGCACGGGTCTTGAGAACACCACCAGGGGCATCACCCTCCTGGGAGCTCATGGGAGGTAGGGCAAAGCCATACTGCTCCATATGAGCATCTTCAATGTGATCCTTGTCGCCATCACGAATCTGAACCCAGTAGACGGTGCCGCTAATGCCAGTACCGATGATGGCCTCACGGTGAGCGCCGTCGTGGTCAGTAGGCGTAACAGACATGGCGACATTGAAGATACGGTCCTTGGTGTCGGTGAAAATCTTGGCATCCTTGCCATCCTCCTGTCGAATAACACGCAGACCACCCTGCTTGGACATGCCGTAGGCCATGTAGTTCTCGGTAGCGGTGTAAAGGTTGCGATCAATCTGATCAAACTCCTTCTTGAGTCGAGCAATATCCATGATAGTCTCATCGCGGAACAAGGGTCGTGGCTCGGTGCCCTCTTCCTGAAGAGTAATAGAGATCCACGGCTTCATGGGGAAGTTAAACACCTTGACAGGTGGGGTCTCCTTCTCTTCAATAACGACGATCTCGTCCTGGTCAGCGCTCTCCCAGCTCTCAGCAACACCCTGAGCAGCCTCGTCAACAATTTCGCGAACAGTCTCGGCGACGTCGTGTGGGAGGGTGTCCTCGAGAAGTCCCTCATTCTCGCTGCGGTCAAGCTCAGCTTGGATAGCCTGGGCGGCAATATGAGCACTGTCCTCGAATTCCTTCTCAGACTTGGCGTTGAGCATATCGTCAAGGTCCTCGGCGATTTCAGCCTGGGCCCGTTCGTGCTCCGCGCGCTCAAGCGCCTCCCGGGCTTCATGATCAGCCTGCTCGGCAATGTCCTCGATGGCCTCTGCGACGGTCTCCTTGGCGGTCGAATTGTAGTTGTCGAATTCGGAGGTCGGAGGGGTACCCTGCTTCACCGAAAGGTGAGACTGCAGAGACGCGGTTCGGGTTGCCTTGCGACGGATCTGGTGAGGAGAGGTAGGGAAAGCAGCTCGGTCACTGCCAGCGCCGACCGAGTGGTCGTGGCGGTGGGAGTGATGGGAGTGGTGAGAATGCTGGGATGCAGCTGGTGAGTCCTTCTTAAGAATCTGGAAAGGAAGAGCTGGTGGCGACTGAGCAATGTGGCTCTGGCTCTGACTATGAGGAGACGACTGAGCAAGGTTTCCCAACAGTTGCTGGAAAAGAGCCGAGGTGTCAGTCTGATCCTGCGAGACATGGTGGAAGGAGTCGGATGCATTCGAGGGCGCGTGCGATCCTGCGTAGGAATCGACCGGGCGGTGCTGCTGATTCGAGAACTGATTGCCATGCTGCTTAGGGTACTGCTGCTGATAACTGCCAGAGTAGCGAGCAGGTTCGGCAGGAGCAAGGTCGGGAGACTGAGGCGTAAGGTTGTTGGAACGCGTGGTCTCAGTCAGAGCCGACTGCTGCTGGTCGCCCTGGCTAGGCTTGGGGCGGTTCAACAGGTTGAGCAGATACGAGCGCGTATCGGCCGGGGGAGAACCGTTGCCAAAGGCTTGCTGAGGGTGCGGCTGCTGGGGCTGCTTGGGCTCTTCCGGCTCGTGGGCGCCGCGCATAAGGGCGGCCAGGAGACCAGTCGGGTCAGCAGAAGAAGGAGCAGGCTGGTGAATCTGAGCAGGGAGAGGGCTCTGAATGATACCTCGACCTTGCTGAGCATGCTGCTGGAATTGGTTGAATTGATGGAGCTGATGGTCCGACAACTGCTGGTGCATCTGCTGAGGAGAACCAGGTTCCTGCGGCTGCTCTTGAGGCTGCTGGGTCTGCTGCTGGATATGAGCCTGGGCCCGATTGTGAGCAGCTTGACTCTGCAACTGCGAGCCACCTGAACCGCTGAACTTGAGCAAGTTCAGCAGATTAGCGGTGCGATCCGAGTTATTGGAAGGCATGCTCATGTTGTTGACAGGCGGCGTAGGCGCCGGAGGCATGTCGAGATTGTCCATAGCGACAAGCCTAGGGTAGCGGGTGCGGTTGCGGACTCGAAAAGAGCTACCGCGTTATTATTGTTGGGTTTTTTCTGAATGTGGATGATTCAGAGACGACAAGAAATGGCGACCAAATGGAAGCGGAGAGCGGGACGAAAGCAAAAGCAAACGGGCCGAACAGATTCCGAGAGGACGCCAAGAGGAAGGACGAAAGGGGACGACGAGGGAGAGAAAAAGAATAAAAAGAGATCAAGATGATAGAATGGAAATGAGTAGATGCGATTCTATCTTTTAATCTTTTTCAATGATGAGATGAGGATGAAGATAAAAAAAGGTGGTTGACGTTGGGGGGGAAAAAACAAAAGTCGCGAAACCGATGATGATGACGGTGAAGTAAGGCAAGGCAATGCAAAAGTAGAGCAGAGCAGAGCAAATCAGTGGCTGGTAGCGGTGGCAGTAGCAGTAGCGGTAACGGCAGTGCCGCAGTGGTACGGTACCTCACTTTAAGCTGATGAGCTAAAAAGCCTGGGAGAGTTGGAGTTTGTGTGTGAAAGCAACCAAGGTGACCCCAAGCAATTATCTGTGCACGTCTGCTAGTGTTTGGGGCGGCCTCAGGAAACAGCTTTGCGCAATATGTTTCGATCGATTGACGATGGAATTGATAACCAGTTGATAGCTGCTGGAGCCCAAGCTGCTTGTTGTCTGTTGCCAGTGCAGAAGCCCACGTTGCCCAATGCTACAAGCAGTGCAATCCAATGTAAGGCAAGCCAAGGTAAGGTACCTTATGTTGAGGTGACGGGAGGGAATGGGATGGATGTTTCCGCCTCACTATTCCCCGATTGCAAGGTAACGCACAGAGCTAAGGTACCTGGAGGGAGTGAAGGAGTGACGTGGTTGACTGGGGCTGGTTGGTGTGTCCTCTGTGTTGTATTTGCTGGTACCTCAAACTGTGAGGATGATATCGGATGATGCCGTTGAAGTGTATCATCCACGGAAAACACAGAGAAGCAAAAATGATAAAGTTTGTCCTTTTTATCGAGTATTAAACATGCTTCCCTCAATGGCATCGAATCTCAAAAGTGGCTGATGCAATGTAAAGCTCTCAGCTGTGATACATACAGGACATACATGGATATGAGTGAACCAGTTCGGCAAGGTAGCGCCCAGACTGCCAGCTGTCAAAGTCACCGCCTCTTCAAGTTCTATTGGTCAAGGCGATGAATCCAGATCTCAGAGACATGTACATTATTGGTGACTCATAACCAAGTAAAGCAGCCCGAGATTCGGTTCGAGCCTGAAAGAACTTGAGATCCTGGCTTTTGCATATGCAGCTGCGGGCCAATTTGTTGCTGCTGCTGCTGCTGTCTGAGTCCCAACATTGTTGAAGAATTTCTGAGACCAGCCTTTCTTTTCCTTTCCGAGACGACATCCTTGAGATCTTCGATGCCTCGACTTGCCAGTTCCAGAAGCGTAAATGATCCCCGAGTTTAATGGTCATTCAGGGACAAATTGTGGTTATTCCCACTAGGCCCTTAGGTTTTGTATCTCAGAAACTTAATCAAGACCTCCGACGATTTGCATATCCCGGATCGCGACGACTGCATTGAGCAACAGGCACAAAGCTAACCATATTATAAACATTTCGTTCTTTATCTTCTGGTGAGGTTTGAAAGTCAAGCAAATACTACAGTGCAGTGAGTATTAAATGCTTCTTCAGTGTTGAATGCCCTTATATGGCCTGGGAGGTGCTGTGAATAACGGCCCAGCCACAAACAACTCAATATAGGACGGGAAGGAAGGAAACAAATACAACTCTATCATCCACCTCACACTTTAATACCCAAAAACAACATACAAGAGCAAACACCAAAATAGCATCAAATATCTTAGTCTTCACTCTAGTCCAGCCAATCCCATGATATCAATACCTAACCCAGAGCCTCAACAACACACTAAACCCAATACAGCATCACCCCCATTCATCACCCTCCAAAACGACGTAACACCTTTAAACCGCCACCAAATCCTCTCCCCGAGTCTCCAGTCCAGCCTTCAACAAACCCTCATGCGCCCGCGCGCAATATACCACGATTAAACATTCTGTCTCCTAGGCGATCAACGCCACATGATACCTCTATTCATCGCATAATTATCGCCCAGCATGTTTTGTCTTCGCAGGTAATTAATACTCGACCCCTTCACAATCACTCTTTCAAACACAAAAACTAACTATGTGCAGTTGGCTTCCACTCCTATTCATCCCGACCAACGCTTCGCCCGCTTTCATATTCCTCTTCTTTATCTGCACGTACTTCCTCAATCGACCATGCGTGTACTGCTCCATCCTCCTCCTTATTCTCTTCCTGACCTCGTGCAACTGGTCCGACCGATGTTTCTTCGACCTTGGCAGTAACTGGTTCCTCCCGCGTCCGACAGTACCGTCTGAGGATGTCGCTTTTACCTCACCGTCAGGGGACCTCGCGTTCAACTCGACTGTCCTCGATATGGCCAACACTACGGTCGCGGCCATTATAAAATCTGCTAGTGATGATCTAGCTGTCAGGAGGGCCGAGTGGTCGGGCTTAGGGATCGAGTGGCTTAGAAATTTACTGGGGAAGAGGGAGTGGAGGATCGATTGTATGGATATCCATATTAGGCTATGAATAGTCTCGCGAGACCGAGAGGGGAATTGATTATATGTGGCCTAATGAGATGTATATTCCAGGCCATGCCAAGTATTCAAGTACTTGATAGACCCTATATGAGCATAACATATTTCAGCGCTAAATCACATCGAGTTCACAAACAAACCACATCGGCCAAAGAGTCCTATAAGCATAACGTGTCTATTCTCATCATATTGACTAAGATAGTCCCCGTAAAAAGTTCCTAATTATGTACCCTTCATGCATCATTCAAACTATCATCGCACCAAAAACCACATGTGTATCCCTCATTTTCTTTCATCAAAAAACGAATGCGTCCTAGGTATATCCTTCGTAGCAACTTACATCAAGGCATATAAAGCATGGCTTCGCTTGCAAATCCCTAAAGCTCATCAGCCTCCTCCGAGTGCTCCGCAGCCTGTTCGGGGGTTTCTTCGTCAGAGCCCAAAGCCTCCGGGGCGGCGGACTCGGAAGTGGCCTCGACCTCGATGCTGGGTTCCGCATCTTCAGCCTCCTGCTCGACTTCATTAAGGTGCTCTTCATCAGGCGACACAGTCTCCTGAGCAGGGTCCTCCTCTTCCTTCACGGACTCGGCCTCGTCAGATGGAAGGACGGTCTCCTCTGTGGGTAGTGTCTCCTCCACAGACGCCTCACCATCGACGGGGGCTTCCGCGGCCAAAATGGTGTCCTCTGCCTCAGGGGCAACACTCTCCTCAACAGCCTCAGCAGCCTGCGTCTCTTGAGATGGAACGTCGGTCGCATACTCAGTGATCTTGACTGTAGCAGTCTCAACAGCTGTTACTGTCTCGACGATACGAACAATGCGCTCCTCACAGGTGGGTTGCTTCTCACTCTCATGTGACTCGGCAGCAGGACCAGCGTCCAATTCTCGGGGTGCCTCAACTCCGTGATATCCTTGAGAAGGAGCTGAGCAAGAAGCACACGGGTCGACGGATCCAGTCGAAGAACCATCGTGGCTAGGATAAGAGCTACCGATAGCAATCTGGTTGTTGTTGAGCTGCTCATCCTGAACGATATGGTTCTCAGCAGTGGTGTCCTCGACAACAATGCTCTCCTCAGGATGATAAGCCTCAACATTGCGTTCCTCCTCAACGACAGGATCCGCAGAAGCAGCAATCTGAGGAGCTGCCTCGGTCGCTTGGATGCTGATAGCCTGTGTCACTGTCACAGTAGGCACTTCCCGATTCATAACAACAGTCTGGAAATTCCTAGGCTCCTGTTGAGGTACAGTGTTTCCACGGATAGCCAAGAGAAGAATGAGAACACTCAGCAAGCCGATCAGGATGTTCTTCTTATCTTGCATGGCTACACGAGCTGATTCGGCCAGTAGCTCGGGAAGAGTAGCGCTCTTCATCGCCTGGCGACGTTCCTCAGCGGTGGGTACTCGAGGGGCGGCATGCGCATAATCGGGGGCACGGTTGCCGGCAGAAGAGCGACTGCGCTCAGCGTATTGCTGATCGTGGTGTTGTGGCTGTTGTTCGTGGAAAGATCGTTGGGATTCCTGATAATGTTCCTTGGAAGCAGGTGTATCGCCATAGATCTCCCTATACCTCTCCTCGTCTCTCCTGAGACGCTCTGCCTCATCATCCTTCGAGTCAGCGGGGTCTTCGGGAGCGATAGATGACTCTTCGGCCTCCAGATTGGTATTTTCAAGGTGAGAAGGCTCGGGTGTAGGTTCGGCACTTCGTGCTTCCTCTGCCAGACTTCTCTCACGTTCTTCCTGAAGATGGTCATCAATATCCTTCTCAAGTTCCTCAAAGGATCGGCTCCTTTCAGCATCTTGATCCTCAGCAAAAGACTCCTCGACATTATCAGTGAGTTCCTTGATGGACTCCTTGGTGACATCAGCGGAGTGCTCCTCCGCAGGCTGAGTATCGTTCGCGAGGTGGCTTTGGTCGTGATCTTTGGTAGTATCGTGGACAGATGCTTCACGAGCCTCTGAAACATCATGGAGAGACTCTTCATGATGAGAAGGCTCGTGGTAAGAGGGTTCGTGGTGAGACGGTTCGTGAAGTGACTCATCGTACGCCGACTTATCACGAACGGATTCCGCATGCAGCGACTTATCGTAACGAGAGTCCTCATGATGGGATGCATCATGACGAGAAGTATCATGATTCTCCATACGTGACTTTCCTTCACTCACATGGCTCATATCCTCAACGTGGTTACGAGACTCTCCCCGTCGTCTAGACAGACGTCCTCGTTCCCTCTCCTCAAACTCCCGATGCTCCTCATCCAGCCTGATGTACCTTTCCTCCTCTTCAGCTTCTCTCATCGCCAACTCCCTCTCCTGGTCAGCTTCCAGAGACACGAGCTCATGTTGCGACACAGCGTCGACAAGAGGCTCTATCTCAACATCAACCCGCTCCATCTCCTTCCAACAAGCTTCCCAGGCACCGCCGCGGATCAGACCGTTGCTGGCATACACCTTGACACGGAAGACCTTGGCACGACCGAGTGACTCATAGTTAATGTCCGACTTGCATGTCTTGCACCAGTGTGTAGGCGGCACCTGAGAGCGACGACTTGATCGGCGCTCCTCTTCCTCTTGTTGTTGATATTCATCCTCCTCACTCTCCTCCTCCTCCGAATCCTCTATTGTCATCTCGTTGGAGGGGCCAAGATAATGACCACACTCTAGGATACGAGCACGACGCCTCATGGGAAGGTCAAGAGCCTCTAGCAGCCTCTCCTCAAGAACCTCGTAGTCGCTCTGGGGGTGAGGTAGGAGGATACCACGCTCGACAGTGGTATCTGCCATGCGATCTTGCAATAGTCGCCAAGCATCTCGTATGGCCTTGCACTCCTTGCTAAGATCATCGGCATCTGCATTCTCGAGCACGTCACCCCACGGCCACCGGAGCGGAAGCAAAGTAACGTGAAGAAGGACAAGGGGTGGTGTAGATCGCTTAAAACGAGGTGGTGTCTTCTTAGGAGAGTACTGCTCTGAAAAGCGAGGAGAGCCAAGTCGAGATGCAGAGAGAGGTGCTCTGCGGCTTGATCGAGGAGAGCCAATTGTTGAGCCTGGAGGTGATGACATCTGCATTGCCTTGACAGAAGAAGGTGATCGGAAGACAGGACGCGGGTTGCCTCGGATAGTAGGGATAAAATCTTCCTCTTCCCTGTCATACTCTGAGAAACCGGAAATACCTGATACACCTGAGACACGAGGCGACCTGGTCATCCGCGACATAGCATCCTGAGCCTTTCTGTTATCAGTCTCCGAGACAGATCCCATTGAGCTGCGAGGACTTCGATCACTAAAAACGTCGTCTTCGTGCTCATGGTGGGAGCTATTCTCGGCGGCCTCGTCCACACCGCCTCTCATACCAGCGGTCGACATTTTTGGGCCTGTGCGAGTACTAACCGACTCTGAATGAGAGATATAGCCAGTATCGTCTGTTCCAGAGTAGCTGTTCAAAGACTCGCGCTTCTCGTGGTTATCGATTTGTGAAGCAATGTCACGAGCAACTCCGTTAATAGCTTCGGAGCGACCAGAGTGTCGACGGCTTGAGTATTCAGATCCCGAAGAGCCAGAGGACTCACGTCGAGAGCCTGAGCGGTCTGACTCGGTCTCTGAAAAGTGCCTCTCTTCGTTGCCCTCTGCAGAGGTTTCAACCTCAGCTTCAGCAGATTTGGCCTTGTCCTCTTCGATAGGTTCGTCCTTTTTGGGTTCCTGAGCGGTGGAGTCTTCGGCAGGAATGTTGTCTGTGGGGATATCTATGGAAGGGGTGTCCTCGGTTGGAGTATCCGCAGGCGTGTCCTCAGTGGTAGTGACGTCTTCGACAGGGGTAGGATCCTCGTCGTTATCTTTTGTATCGTCTAATGAGGGCTCTGTAGCTGTTGTGTCGGCTTCAGCTTCAGAAGTAGCTGGTACAGCTTCGACTTCTTCTGACTCTGTTGCTGGCTCCTCAATTGGCTCCTCTGGCTTATCTTCAGTGTCGACTTGAGCTTTGGCTTCCTCTTTTGGTTCAGCTTCAGGCTCTGATTCAACTTCTGAGTCGGCCTCTGAGTCTGATGCCTCTTGATCAGATTGTGCCTCCTCCTTGGTCTCTTTTGGTGTTATAGTAGATTGATCTTCTTCTTTACGTTCTTCTTTAGCTTCGACCGTAGGCTCGGCCTTTGCTTCAGTAGGTAGGTCGGTGTGGTTTGTCGTCTCAATATCGTTATCAAGCTCTTTGGCAGAGTCGTTCTTTGAATCGTGATCTGTTTCCACTTCCACCTTTGGCTCCTCGGGGGCCCTTGTATCGTTATCGTCCATAGGATCGCTCAAGCAAGATGGATCAACGTGAATCTCGAAATCGAGGTCCTCAGCCCTGTTATGTCGGGGCATCTGAGGGTGAAAGCGGTCAGTGGTTTGTGCCTTTTCGTATGCGTGCCTCGAGTATTTCGCAGTGACACCACACGATAAAAAAGAAAAGGGGATATTGAAGCGAGGAAAGGAAGAAAAGAGAGGTCGAGGGGTCTTCCTGGAATCGTGCAGATATTAGTCCGGGAGGTAACTGTATCCCCAGACGCTGGGCTTGTGTGGCAGCGGATGGTTGGTCGAGGACGTTGGGACTGGCCCCGGTCATTGTTTACATTTGTTGCTGGGTCGACAGCATCTGTGGACGTTGATCCCTGGGCGTGATGTCGAGACAACGGTCAGATTCGCAAACGGAAAGTGGCTGGCTTTCATGATTGAGACGGTAAATGATGATTGTGTTTAATTTCTCCAGTTTCCTTTGTCTTTGATAATTGAATTGTAGTTCCATTTCGCTGGTATTTTATCCCTTGTGAGAGCAATCCATAGCTCTTAGCTCTCCCTGTTAGTTAGTGGACAAACAGAGGTGATGTCATTCCATTGGACCACACTGGGATCCATTCTGATCTACTACTGAGATGCCCAGCAACGAACAAACCCTTGCAGTTGGGGTTTATCTGCAACATTTATCACGTCAGGCCACGATTAGGTGATACTTGCATTTTACTCCTCTGCTCTGCTCTCCCTCTCGTGACCCGAGCCTTTTTCAGCAAGTGTCGTCGCCAACACCAAGTTTAGGGTAACTTCCACTCTCAGGAACGGCCCGTCGGGTCTAGGTGTGTTTCACTTACATAGATTGCCGCATTCCTCGATCACCAGAATAAACATAGCATGTTCTTGTGTTCCTCTAAATGTATAAATTGAATAATCGCTAAAGTCTCGCTGTTCGGAAACTGTACCGAAGAATGTGATACGAAGTCGACACAGCGCATTGACGTAAAGCAATCAATACCATGTCCATGAATAAACACCAGCCAAAAGATGCATCCTTGATAAACCCCCAAAAACATCATAAGAATTACTTGCTCATCAACTATTGTCCCTCTACACCCGTTTCACCATAACGAGAACCAACCTCAAGGCAATCATCACCCCTGGGCAGACCCTCAGAATCAATACCTACTACTTATGTTCGCCAAACCGGAGTCCAACGCGAGTCTGCAGTCCCAAGGTCCCTCCACACCCGCATTTGCATGATATTCGTTGTTGTACAGATCGAAACTCCATAAGGCAGTACGGACACATGCCATCTACCTGACATCCAGGGTTTTTGAATGCTTCATCGACGCATATAACGAACGGCTCACTGAATCCATCGGGTATACCGGTCATACGCTGATGTTCGCAAGCTCCAAAGCGTCCGAGTTCGCCAAGTACGATCGTTCCGTCTTTCCAGGGGTTGGTGAAGGTCCATTGGTTGAAAAGAAGATATCGACCAGAGACGAGTTTTGGATGAGACTCAAAGTGGCCTACTGCTCCACACTTGTCCAAAGGGTGCATTTCTAAACCCGGTGAGAAATCAGTGTGATATGGCTCCAGGAGGGTCTTGAGAAACGACTTCTGTTGATGGGTTTTCTTTTCCAAGCGGTCATATTTGAGGCTCATCTGAACATGCTTATGTTTTAACAACAAGGCTCCTTCCTCGAATTGCCTGAGCGTGTCTTTATTCCATCCTGGTTGGTCTTTGTACGGAGGGCCTTTTGGTTGCGGGCAGAGGTCTTTCGCCTGAAACTCTCGGAAGCGTAGTGCTCGGCCAGTACGCCAGGCACTAGGAAATTGTCGGACGACAAGCATCTTGTACTCTCGCTGTTTCGCAACTGGAAGCTGAGAGAATGGGACGCTGGTATACTCTAATAATCTTTTAATACCGTGGCAGGTTGTTAGAAGACACAGCTTACTGCCCGTGGGGAGGAATGAGTGGATGATGAGCAAGATATCGAGGGGAGTTTGAGCAACAGGGAATCCGACTTCCTATTTGTTGAGGAGTAAGACCCGCTGCCGCATATCCAACGGTATGAAATATCCTGAATTTGAGCCATCGTGAAAGATGAGGGCACGGCTTGAGGTTGAAGTCGAAAGCTTTCGCGTATGTGTTCCTTCAGTGTGCATATATGAGTAGAAGTGAAGATTTAGAAAAGAAAATGGCAGCGCCATGTATTCTTAATTTTGTGCCGTGCACTTATAGCTTGAAAAAGAAAGTATGTAACAAAATTTGGCATGTGATCCAGTGAAGAGAGAGTAAAGGTTGAGTGTGTAATAAAGTTTAACACATCAACCATACGGGAGGCGGCAAAGTTGAGTAAACGGTGTCTAGTCATTCAGACACGTTCCTGAAATATTTGTATGATGAAAGCTAGACGTTCCAAGTCCAATTATACTTCTCATGAGTCTCCCGGAGGACTTGAATAGCTTTGTCGTAAGCACGATGCTTAACATCCCGCTTAACCACGATATCAGGAACTAGAAAGTTTAACACTTGAATTCGCGAGAGAATTTGGTGACTCACCTTCCAAGTATCCATGAAATAGATCTTTCTCATACCAAATTTCCACTCTTTGAACTTCTCTTTCGCCATCCTCTTCATTGATTCGCTCTGCGAACTCTGTCTGTTCTGTAACAAGAATATCGATACCAGGAACGACAAGGAGAATCCGTTCTGGCAACGTTTCCTTTTCTGATAGCACAGGACTAAGTCTTGGGTCTCTAAAGTGTTTTGATCTAGCAGGTGCTGCATATGCGTCGAAAAGGGGCAGAAAGATTTTCGCAGGGTCATTCTTGGGCATGTTGTCTGCATGCGGTTTCTCCCAGGGACTTAGACGGAAGTCAATAACAGCGTAGAAAGTTGCGATGGCCTTTATAGCAGTAGGAGATGGTGCCTGACAGCTTCTCTGCTGAGTGACTGCAAAAGCTAAGTTTCCTCCTGCTGAAAAACCACTCGTGGTCATTAAAGTTGGATCTGCGCCCCAGCGTTCTTCGGCGTTCTCTTGTAACCACTTGATCGTTGCATCAGCATCGTCAATAGCCGCAGGGAAAACATGCTCTGGCGCCACACGATAGTCAACATCAACAACAACGGCCCCTGTCTGTTCTGATACCAGCTGATCGAAATATGCATGGCCCTCCGGCAAGCCACCCATGAATGCACCTGAGTGAAAGTTCACATGAAGTGGCCTGAGAGCTCTCCCCTTTCCAACACCAGCAGCCTTGAAGATCAATGCTCGAACATAACGATCCGGCGAAATATGGAGATATTCAACAGTGTAAGCGCGATACAAAAGACAAGGTATCGTGGCGATGGAGTATGTTAGGAGAGCAGCTGGTTGAAATACTAGCAACCGCCAGCGCAAGGCCCACGGTATATTGCGATAGAAGATCGCCACCAGACTGGGCCGAAGCCAAGTATACAAATGGTGGATGATGCTGGAGACCATCATGAATTTTTGGGTTCACCCATCAATATCGCGATAAAACAGAGGTGAAGTTTAGGTTTGCGGCTGAAATGCAGCAGGACAAAGAATCGAAGTTGTAAGCGGCCCAACATCGCACCGATCTCTTATGAGGAAGAGCCAATCAACAACCACAAGCCAAGAACAAATATCGTCGCATTGAAATGATATCTATCATATTTCAGTGATAACTTTTACAGACTGAGTCCACTCCATCGAAAGTACTACTTACGCTTACAAGCTCACACGTGTTGTTCGAGTCTCGAGTCAACATTGTCCTGCAGATAATTAATTACTATGTTACGTTTCAAACAAGAACAGTTTCAAAATAAGCCACTCGTCGAGGGATCTATGTAAAATGTTCTGCAAGTAATTTAAATCCCAGCCGCCACTCAAGAAGCTGTCATGTTACCGACGTAAATCCCTATCCCTGCAGCTGCACTCTAGCGACCCGATGCTCTGGGTCTATAAATTAAGCATAGATGAAAAATGATCTACTTGCATCTGGAAAGCTTCCAATAAAAAGCAAAGTTCAAGGGCTCAAGGGTTCATCACTGGGTGAAATAGCAGCGATCATGGGAAAGTAAAATGTTCGATTTTATAAAGCTTCGGAAAGTTCGCTGGGAAGCCTTCGATTGCACCAACGAAAGTAATAGACAAAAATAAACCCAAGTACTCCGTATACTCGTGTATTCTTTAGATAGACCTGTTTGGTCACCCCCAGCCCAAAGCTTTAGAACCCGTCAGAGAACGCCATGCTACGCTATATCAAATTTCCATATCCCAACCCCATCCACCTAGCCAAATCATGCCCAGGTTGAACGTCCCTGGGTGTCCATAGATGTGAAAAGAGACAACAAGCCAAATGTGATCAAGGCTCTTCAGCCACAGGTCGTGGATGTTCCATAGGTGCATTTGGTTGCCTGTTACCCGAGCCTCGAGTTCCTGGCCGGTGGCTGTCCGTTTGACCAACGAGGTGCTCGCTTGGCCCATAGAATCCATGCATTTCTTCGTTCACAATACTGAGATTACTCTGACCCAGAGAATCACTTCGTATTCGTGGTCCACCCGACTGACGCTGAGCTACAGGAGGTCGGCTCGGGACACTGGCAATACTGCCTGATGACCTTCGCCTTTCATCTCTTTGGAACACCACAGACGATGGAGAACTCGGCAGTTCTGGTACGTACGGTGTTGCTTCTAGCTCTGCCGTAGGATGAGCACCTGCCATCACTCCAGGGGAACCATCGGATCCTTCAGAAGCATTACTGTAGTTCCGAACATGGGTGTACGTCCCGTGTGAATCTGTACTTGAACGGTTCCTCGTCGATCCAGTAAGTCTAGAGATATGGCTCATTCGATGTTGTTCGCCTGCAGCTACGGCGCTGAAGTAATCGTCCCTGTTACCCATTGCATCGAAACTAGCATGTCTGCTGGTGTTGCCGCTTCCCGGTACCGCGTGGTAACCGTTCCCTCCTGGCGTAGGCTCATTAGAACTATGATCTGCGCTGGCGAGGCCGAATGGTGAAGTTGCTGCAGAATCAGGGCCAGGGTTTTGCGGTCGTGGAGGTATCAGTGACGGATGTATCAATGGATCGATGCTTAGTTCATCAACGGCCGAGTCTGCTGTTTTGTACTGTCGGGTTTGTCGAGATTGGCTATTTGAGCCGTTGGATCTGTCTGATGTTTTTGGTGTGGCGACAGCGGCAACAACCTTGTTCAGATGGCGGATGATGATAAATGCCGCCACTAATACGATAATTAAGAAAGCCACAGAGCCGGCGATAATACCAGCCAATGCGCCAGTTGAAAGGCCTCCTTTGTCGCCGTTATCATCATCAGATGAGCTCGTTGGGCTGACTTTGGGGATCGATGAAGGGAAGTATTTTAGAACTGCCTGGTCGTTATCTTCGCCAGCATTTACCGTCGGGAGAGCCGTAGGAGCTGTTGGTGTTTCGACGGTCACGGCTGTCGTCCTATAAGTTGTTCGCTCCCCCCTTATTGTCGTTGTAATGACCATAGTACTTGTGACAGTTACAGGATCGGAAGAGTAACACTGGTTCACGCCGCATGCCATTCCATTCGGACAGCAGCCGTAGCTCAGCGATGACGGACATAAATACTGGCTAGCTGGACAATCGTATGTATATGCTGATCCAGAGGGTGGTACACAGTTGTCGGCTGTCTCGCAAAGGTAACCATCAGGACAACAGCCTCCTACTATATGTGAGCCTTGTTCGCAAACGCTTTACATTCCCAGAATACAAACCTCCATAGACCGGAGCGCAAACATGCCAGCCTATTTTTGTTCCACACGTCGAGGGTCCCTTCGTTGTCGCTTGACAGCTCTCTTTGGCGCAATCATAGTTTTCTGGGCAACATCCTCCGCCCAAACTCGAAGGGCATAATTTCATACTCGTCGCACATTGCGCTTCGGCTCGTCGACCAAGACCCGCTGCCTGTGTGATTTGCGCCTCCTTCTCAATACGATGAACGCCATCATGTCTTCTGTAGTCGGCCGCCTCGACACCCAAAGCCCAAAATGCACCAACGACCGAGGTGAGGCAAAAGCTACACCCCCAGTTCCTCATCTTGTGCGATCATGGAACTGAGGGGAAATGCGACAGCGAATCGAGGGTGGTTTCGTTCAGCCGTGAGGGGCGCCGATCATGAGCAAAATGTAACTCGGATAAATGCAGCCTCTTCAGGCTGGTGGTTGTCGCAAATCAACGGATATAATCCGATTGATAATCGCGGGTTTACAACGGTCACGGATCGATTCGATACAAGATCGCCGTGAGGATGGTGTCGGATATTCAGCCGTTTCGCAACAAAATAACCAAAAGCAATGATGAGAAGGAGAAAAGGAGAAATGCGTCAGACAAAATAGGAATGTTCCTAATGTCAGCAATGGAGGCCTTAGAGGCTTGTCAATAACCGGGGTCTGAAGATGCTACGCCACGAGTGAGCAGTAAATGCTTCACTCGTGCCAGCCGATCTGTAGGGCTGAGCGAAAAGCCCACTGAAACCGACTGCACGGTTCGTTGTGGTTGGGCGGTCAACCCAAAAGCGCAGCACTGGTGAGATTGCAAGAAATATAGCTCCTCTTAAGGCAATAATAATCGTGGGCCCAGCGTGGAGACTATGAAAGCAGGTGGAATGAAAACGGTGAGAAGTTGCACGGCGATGAGCAATATCCTACGGATAAGCAATAATGGGCTCGACACGCGGCTCATTTTCTCTCGCGGGCGCTGCTCGAGCTGAAACCGAACAGAACACCATAGGCCAAAAGCTTCAAGGCGATCGATCGGTGACAGAGCTGCGAGAGAGCACCCATATGTGCGGTATTGCATTTTGCTGGTCATCTTCACCAATACCATCGCTCAGTCGCAGCTGAGGCTGTGGTGCAGCTCATGGGATTCGCTGGGAACAACGCCATGGTAGCTCAACAGCGAAGCCCCTCGATGCTCTATTTCTATACCATCCCTCAAGACAATGCAGTGCCTCTCATCTCACGATTGGTCGGCGACGGATTTCTCAAGCTCTTAGTGGCCGACTGTGAACGGAGAGTGCATTGTTTGGGAGCATTTGGTGCGCTCAAGTGCATTGGCGTTGCTACCGTGGCAGCCATTCAGCGGTCTTGTCCGTCTGACAAGTAGACAAGGCCACGAATCAAGTGTCTTATGGAGAAGGGAACCCTGTCCATAACGACAGAAGTTCATCCAAATCACTGGGGATTGGGGGCCGAGAACTTCGGGGGCGGAGGCATACAAGCATATAATAGTAATGGAGAATAATGGAAGTCAGTTGAGAGTTGCCGATGAGGTCAAGCTGCTTTGAAGACAGGCGACCTTTGCTGATACAGTTGAGTATTGCGAATTTGAATGGGATTCTTCAATGGATCATGTATTGTGCAGACAAAGACCCAGTTGGGCGATCATAGGCCCATTTGAAAAGTTCCGACAAGCGACGCACTTCGGCTGTCCTCGTTAAAAACTTCCTTGTCGTGAGAGCAATATGCTGGCCAGGTTGGCCGATGACCGTTTCTGAGCGGTCAGCCTCTGGTAGCCTTACGATCATCAACTAAAGCAACAGACTTTTATCAAGCAAAATTAGCTTGGCGGTCAGAAGGGGCATCTGCTAAAATTTGATGCCTGGTTTGAGATGGCTGTTGACATCGTGAGGTAGCGGCGGTTTATCCTAAAATAGAGTCTTTTAGTGAGCACGAACAGGCTGGACGTTGGTGGTAGGTGGAGACGTAATTGGAGCCGGTGTTCATCAGCAGGACGCCCAAGATGTTGCGGACCTAGGCTTTCTGTGGAAATGATCAGAGAAGAGGCATTTTCATTAACCTTAATAACTATAAAGAACGTCATTTCTGTCAATGCGCAAGAAATAGCAACCTTCAAAGTGATTTCCCGGTGAGTAGTCCAAGACTAAACAGAGTAGTAGCGGCTGCAGATGGCTTGGAGCCTAAGTTGACCACCCATTACGATCATAAGATTGAAGGATGGAGTAAGGTACTCGGAGAGTAGCATTATCAATCATCAGCCCAGATTGTGTAATTCTTGACCCTTCTCCACTTCGCAAATGCTTGTTCAGGGCCAAACCAAACCTCCCTAGGTCTGGCGTTCATATCATGAAGTTGGACCTCCCGAATATCGCATGGATGCTCGACAGTTGGGTATCCATACAAGGCAGTAGAAAGTACCCGGCCGCTGCCCGCTGCCAAGAATCGTTAGGCCTCTCAAGGGTCCTGCAACGTTAGCTGCATGCTGGTGCTTCACCAGGTGCCACTTTCTAGACCGGACGAGAGCTATCGTGGCCCCGTGGCCAAGATGCACTCGAGCTTCACGATCGGTGGCTGCCGTTGATAAATCTTGCCCATAAGCCTCCGATTTGCTTGGCACTCTACGCTCAGACATTGGCAATAACTCGCCGATGGCTTCTAGAATTGGCAGGTACACCAACGCTGGTCAACATCGCCAACGTCGTAGCTCGTGTTGCTGAATTCATCTCCACTGATGCTGAATTTAGAGCATTGCCGATCAAAGGGCGGAATTAAGGGTCCATGAACTTTATTTCGCGGACGAATGATTCTTGCTGTTCCTGCGCAAGCGAACCGGCCATAATCGCCCCAGAACCTCCCGTCAGACTCGCGCGGGGGAAGTGATCACCCCTTGTTGTGATCTTCCTGAGGATTCCCATTGTCCTGAAGAGCGTAGATCTCAGACTGATGCAGCATTTAAACGGGAAGGGTTGCGGCGTCCGGCAAAGCACGCGGGGGCGGGAAGGGTATGGCGCTGATGCTCTCAGTGGCTTGCTTGGCCTAGCAATTAGCCAGGTTTCTAGTTTGCCGCGCCTGTCAGAGCGAGTTGCCCATCACCATCTGGACCAAAAGCGGCCGAGTGGCAGCCGGATGGTGCTGAATTGGCAGTCTCATTACCCCGGATTTTCCAGCCCGCCGGGGAAAAGAATGCCAGGGCCATGTGGTTTTGGGTCGTGGTTTGCCGCTTTTGAGGATGCTATTTGGTGGCTGCAGGGACACGAGGTCGGTGCTTGACTCCGAATACTTGATTGAGTCTTGGGGAGCTGGAGAGGGTTACATTGATAACGTTCAGTTCCTCCTGTCAATTCTAGAACTCTGTCTTTGGGTGGCGTTGGATGAGAGGGTCGCTTTTCATGTGAAGAAAAGTCACCTGCTGTAGACGAGCGGGGGCGTGGATTTGCATCTGTTCTGCACCTAACGTGGAAAGAAGCTCATACTGTCTGATCACTGTGCGTTTGATGTGCATTAAGGTGGAAAACACAGTATAAATTCATCGGGTATCATACCCCGATTCTCCATCCCACCGCAAAAGCTCTCAGTTACCCCCTGCAAATTCATCCCATGGTCCCATTCTCATCCCCCCAAATCTCCAGCTCTCCGCAGAGCAAGGAGCAACGGTACAAAATTCTTCAGGGCACATTTCTGATGCTCTCAGTGCACCTGCAGACCAGCGCCCGTAACCCCGCAAGCTAACAAAAGGTAGCTTTGCCCAGACTCGGGCAAGTGTCGTAGCCAGGGCCAGGGATCCATGATTGTCGTGGATGCTGAAAGATCACGATGGTGTGTAGTGAGTGACAAGACTGGCAAGGAGGGACCTTATGTTAGACGGTAGACCGAACCATGACGCCCCAGAGACGCACGAGGCATCAATTTTGATCCCTTCCATTTCTTCTTTTTCCCCTTCTTCTTCCCCCCCTCACGTCTCGGTCCTGCTCATAATCCTGCTCCTGGCCTCAATCTTGACTTTTAAACTTTGACTATTGTCTCTTGTTTGATTATATCGTCATATTTCGCCCTAGCCAACGTTCGTGACCAACTCCTTGGATTACTTATTAAATATCACTACCGATCTCCCGCCTCCGCTCCAATTTCTCCCCAGATCCTCGGCTTCTTGTGGACTTTATTTCCCCCTCTTACTTCCCCCACACGCAGATCAGTTATTCAATTCAAAATATTCAGTCGACGACTTCTTTTGCTTCAATATAGCATTCAGCAACTGGTTTGTGCTGAGACTGTAAAGCTCGAAACGTCTCTCACCAATACCCGCAAAGCCCATGCGCCACCATCTCAATTCCTGGATGGAAACCGCATGATTGACTTTGTGATCCTTCGATCATCTATATTCGCCACCACATAACGACCACGATGTTGCTGTACACCAGACTCGCACCACCCAAGGTCCCTAAGAAGCGTTCGCGCGCCGGTATGTGAATTATTCTGGAAGCATTCTGTTACACAAACAATGCTCCCCATTCTAGCTAGACGGACTTGCTAACTCGGACGTTTTTGTCGTCGCACAGGATGCAGTTACTGGTAAGTCCTTGCTATTTTCTTCTTTTTGTATTAGCAATTAACTAACGATTTCTATAGTAAAGAAAAGGTACACAGCTCACTCTACATGTGTAGTTGATATGATACTGACTAGCTGCTACAGAAGAAGAAATGTGACGAGATTCGACCTGCATGCGCCCGATGCCAAGAACGTGGCCAGGAGTGCAATTACGAACCTGTCCGACCTCGTCAGAGGCGCAAGCGTGAAGCAACTGTTCCCTGCTCGCCATTTGACACAAACTCTTCCTCGAGCTCGGACAGGGCAACTCATGTTTTGGATATCCATGCCACCTCCGAATGGAACGACGATGCGCATGATAGATCAGCTGACGAAGACTCACTCGACGACACTCCTGTTACGACTCAGGCACCAATACTCAACACTTCTCTCGTCAATCGTACTGCCAGCATATCCACAAATGACCCTACTGACTGGGCGGCCACGGACCTTCCAATAATTTCACCTCTCGACTCGGTCGATTTTCAATTGCCCCCATTCGATGATTCCAAGTATGTCGTTCAACACATCGAGAACGGAGAGGAGGATATCGAAGAGATAGTTCGCCGGGAGTCCATCACCATCAATATTCCGACAACAACGTATGCCAGCACATACGCAGCCGCATACGCCACCCCTAGCCCTTCACTGGCTATGATCGCGCCTATTCCTACACAATCCCCTCGACTTGAGTTCTGCGCTCCGGTATTCACAGAGTTCTCCGAACGTACCAACCGACGTGCACTTGTCGACCATTTCTGCAATGTTTTGTCGCATCTCATCGTCTTCCGTGAAGAGAGTGGCAATCCTTTCCAGCAGCTTGTTCTTCCCCTGTGCCATGAGAGCCCTGCTGTCACCAACGCGGTTTATGCTTTAGCGAGTGCTCATCTCGAATACCGTGGGGTTGAAAATGACGAGAAGAGTGTCTATTTTCACAACAGAGCTATTCAGGGTCTGGCGCGGTTGATTCAGAAGGGCTCAGGCGCAAACCGAAACGAGTTGCTGGCTGCTATCATGCTATTAGTGTACTATGAAGTGGTAAGTTGACCGATCAATTTGAATCTCTGGCCCATGTAACTGACGCCTTGTAGCTGGTACAAAAGGGTCGATCCAATATCGTGGATGGCCATCTCAAAGGCGCCATGACCATCATGAGCAACAATGGAACTGCCACTGATCCAACTGGCGTTTTCCTGGAGCGGGTAAGTTGTATTCGACTGGATCAATGAGCAACTTTTTGACGATTTTCCAGGCATTCCGTTTTTATGATGTTATTGCGGCACTGTCATTTGGTACTGCTCCTCTCTCTAGTGCTCCAGGCACAAATTATCTTACACCTTTCCCTCCTCTCGATTCTTGTGGCGCCACATCTCCCTTGGGCAGTGTCGACACTCTGCTGGGCATGGCCACTTCCTTGTGGCCAATCATCCATCGACTTTCCAACCTCTTGGCACTCAAGGATCAGCTTGATGTTGCTGTTGCAAACGAAGAGGTTTCCAAGGTTGCTGTTCTCCGAACGGAATTTGAAACCTCGGCAACGGCTATCGAGGCGGCGTTGGAGGACTGGCATCCTGCCGTCCCCGAAAACTCTGTTCTGAATCAAAATCCTGAGGAATTGAGCCCTGAGCAAACTGCAGAAAGGAGCCGACTCCAGAGTATTCTTAGCAACGCTTTGTCTTATCGTCACTCTGCTTTCGTCTACCTTTACCGGACCATTTACAGCTACCCAAGGAGACACCCACTCGTACAGCGCCATGCCCATATCAGTCTGACCCATTGTGTCGGAACAGTCAGTAATACAGGTCCTATGAGTGCTCTTCTCTGGCCACTGTTTGTTGCTGCTTGCGAGGCCATTACACTCGCTGATCGCGAACTTGCCCGCCAGGCATTCATTGCTATCAACCGCCGGCAAGGCATGACAAATATTGACCGTGCATGGACTATTGCACAAGAAGTCTGGCGACGTGCGGACAAGGCCGATATGCTGCAGCAGCAAGAAGAGGCGATGATGATGGGTGTCAGGAGTGGTGGTGATCTCTGGAGAAGAGTGAGTGCAGATATGGGCGTAACCATCGTTTTTGGATAAGACAGGAAAGGAAAACACGGACGAGTCATATGATAGCGACGACAGCGAACTGGCGATACCCGTTCAGCAATCATTCACAGCTGGATATTATTGGAGTTGAAAAGGAATGGGAAGCGTAGTGACATATATACATATTTGGGATGGTTGGGAGCACTTGGATTTGTGGAGGCGGCACTATACGGTGATTGTACCTGTATGGCATATATGAACGCGACGAGATGTATTTTATAATGAAACATGAAGAGAATATGTGGATATTAACAGCTACCTGTTTACTTACCCACTTGACGTCCCAGAGCACCATGGATGATATGCCTGTTTAGTGGACCTCGATATCATTCGCCACTTGTTCAACAGATTTAGGAGCTCTGTTTCATCGGGTGATGATGCTGCGGGCAGTGCATAATGATCTGCATGAGCTTGGCATTGGCGTTGGAAGGCCGTGACGATTCATCAAGAGGTTCCAAAAGGCTGAGGAGCGGTGTTTGAGTCTCTACGCAGTAGGGTACGAGTACAACTGCGCACTGGAAACTGACAAACCACGATTGCAAATGGCTTCCCCGCATTCTGGAACCAAAGTTAATTAATAACTCCGGTTTCTTGGCTTTATCCATATAACGGCTTATTCGGGATGGCTGTCGGATCATGGGATTGACAACTGTCTAGCGGCGTGGGGTGAACTCTCAACCCTCAAGATGAAACAATTAGATCGTCTGTCACCAACCTGCAGTCAATTCGCTTAGAGAGCAGGCCGAATTTAGAAGAGAATGGTCTGTATAAGAGGAATCCAATTATGCGATGCATGTAACTAGGTAGAAAGACAAACCCCCATCTGCAAGAATGCATAGGTGAGACACAATATGCAAAGCAGAAGAGCATCATCGTGGTCTTTGCAGTTAATCCTTGGAGGGGGCTGAACAAGGCGGCAAGCGGGCCGTTACGTTGGTTCTAACTAATAAGGTTGGGGGCGACGGCTAGGAAAGGGGAAAAAGGAACCGAAGAAAGAGGAGTTGGAGGAGGAGGATTGGATGAGATGAATCCATGGGAAAGGGCTGAGAATGACTGGGAGTGGGATTGAGGGAAAAGAGGAGAGACTGTGAGAGAGGGATCAAGGCTAATGGTATTTATTGCCACTGATGTGACGATGTTGGTTTTTTTTATGCCCAGTTTTGTTGTGTTGTGTTGTGTTGCATTGGCTCCTTACTTTTTCTTCGGTGATATCTCTCTTTTCTCTCCTACAACTTACACCTGTTGTCGACGAAATAGGAGGATATTAGCTTGTAAGTCATGCCTTGAGAATTGCGTATGTCTCTGATCACTTGAGGCTTGAGCTTTGCAGTTCTTTCTCTCCACATGAGCAATTACCCCACCTGCCTAAACACCATCCCCGTCCCCAGACCAGACTCAATTCCCTGTCGTCCACTTTCGCAATCATATTCGTTGTGTCATTGCATCTTGTTCCCTCTCATCCTTTTTTTCTAGTCATATTTTCTTAATAATTCCGTCTTAATTATTACTCAACTATACCCGTATCCTCTTACGTCACGGCACAACTCAATCTCTCATCGCCTAATCTCAAACCCCTGGCCTACCTCACGAGCTTCCTTCTGTGCCGTCGCTTATTAGTTTCATGTTCCTGATTGTTTACCCAAACCCAATCCAGAACATGCTACTCAGTCATTGATGTGACCTTGCCCAGCTTTAAGGCTTTTGTCTCATATATGGGAATGCCACCATTTTAACTCCCTCTCCTAGAACCTACGAAACATCGCAACAAATCTCCCGTCGCATTCGCATCCCTTGCGTCCTCCTTCTCCAGGGTTGCATTGCCTCGCCACCTGTTGCATATTTGCCCAACATCAACAGCCACAGTTTTCTGCAACACGCCCTGAAAGACGTCGAACCCCGCCGGTCAGCTTGTCACTCGTCATCATACTCGGATCGCTTAAACTCGCCTGGCTCCATATTGCGCCGGGCTTCTTCTGCTCCCAACGAACGTCCGCTTCTGCGCCCAACTACACAACCCCCAGGAGAAGCATCACCATGTTCTAGTCATGAGCACCCAGACAAACACATCGGATTCGGTTCCGCCGCCACCGCGTCCGATTCGTTTTGTACATAATCAAGGACAACCGCCTTCTAAGCGGCGCAGAATCAACGCTGCGTAAGTATACTCCGGTCGTACCACCATAACATCGTGACACAGAACTAGTCGCATGACTCTGGCTTCCACAGTATATCGTCTTCTGGTCTCTACTTCCTGTTACCCAATACCCGACTCTTCCTCGACCCAATTGCCAGGTGCTAACCCCTTTGCGGCTCAGGTGTTTGACCTGTCGAAAACGAAAGACGAGATGCGCTGGCGAACGGCCTGTTTGCTCTACCTGTACCAAGAACGGCCACCAATGTCTAGGATACCCTGAGGAAATCAAGAGGGAGGATTGTGAGAAACCATCGCCGTTGGATAAGCAGGCCCACGAACGAGACGAGCACGAGCCCCGCCACTACCATGATGAGAATATCAAGATCGAGAAGGCGTCTGTGTCAGCACAGCACGCGCCTGAAACCCCAAATTCACATGCAGCTGCAGGGACGACAATGTCGCTCGCGAACATGATCGATCCAAAGGTTGAAGACCGCGAAACCCCGAATGCGACTGCGCAAAATGGCCACCACCCTTCCACTCTACCAACCTCTCCTACTGCTGTGCGACGCTCCGAAAGTCACCGCGTACCCTATTTCCGATATTTCGGCCCAACTGCTATCGTACCTGGTTTTAAACAAATGGTTGTTTCTGTGCGCGATCGCCGGCGCTCGACTGCTGGTTCACTGGCTGGGACATCGCCGATATCAACGCATAGCGGACCGCAAGGAAGCAGTTCAGCTGTTGGGAGCGATGTGGTCAGCGAGGAACTACCTACCTATGATCCCAATGATCCTGCTCCAGTTCACCCATTGATAATTAGTCTCATCAACACCTTCTTCGTGCAAATGGGCTCCAGCTACCCATTCCTTCGACAATCAAAGTTCTTACGGATGGTGAAAGAAAAGAGGGTTGAACCGATTCTGGTTGACTCGATATGCGCTTTGGCCGCCAGATTCTCCGACTCACCAATTCTTACAAACGGAAACGACAAAATGCCAAGGATGGAAAGGGGTGCAGTCTTTGCGCAAAGAGCCAGGCAGGCCACTGTTGATACGTTCCCATGTCCGACTGTTGGTGCTGTGCAAGCTTGTCTTCTCATGGCTTATGAGGGTTTCGGAGCGAGCCAGGACAGCGCTCTGTGGATGTATCTTGGGCTTGCTATCCGTATGGCCGTCGACCTGGGGTTGCAAAAAGAGGTGGGAGTTCAGTATCATGGCGAGAAGGATGCTTTGTATTCTCAGAACTGGGGCCGCCATCCGGTTGACGAAGGAAGCTCCGAGGCGAAAGGAGGCGAATCGAGTCAGCTGAGTGCTCAAGAGCAAAAAGAGCTCGTACAAGAAAGGATGGATACGTTTTGGGCAGTTTTTATCCTTGACCGTGTCATCTCATCAGGGACGGGACGACCTGTCACATTTCGAGATGATGACTTGGAGCTTTCATTCCCAGAGCCTTTCATCGACCCAGCGACTGGTTGGCCAGCTCCCTATCCGATCTTTCTCCAAATAATCCACCTCTACGGGCGTGTATGCGACGTCCTCAACAAGATTCGCAATGCGCAGGATCTCACCAAGGACACATGGGACAAGCTTGGTGAGATGGAGCATGAGCTGACCAGGCTCTACAAGAGTTGGGACTGGCGGTTACAGTTCAATGTAAACAACTTCAAAGCGTATTTGGGAGCAGGCCAAGGCACCACATTCATCCTGCTGCACTTCTGGTTTCATGCTCTCTTCATCATCCTTCACCAGCCGACTCTCCTTACACCCTTTGCTGAACTCCGCAGTGAGTTGCAACTCCTACCAGACAGTCGCGAGCTCAGCATGAGCAGCGCAAAAACGATTTGCGACATTTTGTCTTTTGCAGACTTGATAGACTCCAAGAGCTTCATTGGAAATCCTTTTGTCAGTCAGCCAATCTACATTGCAGCTTGCGCCTTCGTGATGGAGTCAAGCGCAAACGCATCGAGCTCGCCTTCACGGGCCAACTCACCCCCAGGTGCACAGCATCCGGACGCTTCAGGAAGCAATAAACCTCGAGAGGCCAAATCATCAAGACACTCCCTATTGGCTTCGGCAGCAAACCAGAACTACCAAAAGTGCTTTAATTCTCTGCAACAAGTGCAAATGTACTGGGGTGGAGCTACCTACATCATCACTGCATTGGACCAGAGGGCCAAGGGAATACGGGATTGCGAAACGTACACAGCAGAAGAGTATGAGAGCACTAAAGCTGGACGCAAGAGTAGCAGTGGTGCATTGAACAATACGTTCCCCAAATTTGAGAACAAGGCATCACCAAGGATGTCAGGTCCGCCTATAGCATGGACTCTGGCAGGAACTGCCAACTCTCCAAACTCGAGCCTGACACTCATGTATCAGAACCGAGACTCGACGCCAGGAACTGGAGCTCAAACTTCACAGCCGACACGAGCTCCTAGTACACCACCTGGCAATATGATATTTGACCCTATTCGACAGAGTTTACCAGACTCAGCGGGCATGCTTGCGCCAACTTATCCCCAGCCCAATGTTTCAGCTGTGCGGCAATCGTCCCGCCCAGTTGTGCCTCGTCGAACTTCGAACCTTTCAGCGACGAGTACGCAAACTCGTCCTACTGTTCAGTTCGACGGGTTGCCTGAGGACTGTGAGGCCAATGACATTTACACCACTGGGTCGAGGTTTACACCGACAAATCCACCTTCTACTGCTTTTGATACATACAGTGTCTCGCCACCAACAGCGATGGCTGACAATGGTGTGAACCCCACCACGACTCTTTCAGGGGCAAACGCCATGTATTTTGGCCAAACGAGTTTCCCATATGCGATGCCCTGGGGAAATATGGGTAGCATGGACGGCATCACCTTCGACAGCCAGGATATAGACATTGCTGCTTTGGGGCTGCAGCAATCAGACATGATGGGGCCTTGGTTAGACTATATACCTTCAGATGTGTTGAGTCTATTTGAGCACCAGCATCCGCACATGGGTCAGGGCGGTCATTGATTCGGCGGACTTATATAATAGATCTGAGCATGTCAAATCGCATATACCCACGAGGGATGGCTCGGTATATTTATGAGGCGTATTTGGTACGCATATATGGCGTTTGGTGGGAGCAATAAAATAGGGATAATATGTTATACCAAGTTTCCTAAGTTTGAGCTTGGCGCGGTAGGTGTACGGATATAGGCTTGGCTTTTAATGATATGCTACTTGGTACCTATATATCTGATAGCATTCGCCCGTGGCTCTTGGAATGCGGTAGTGGACTATACTTGATATTGAACAGCCGTGACTCGTGAAAACATGAATACAGGGTAAACATGAGCGTATATTTAGAAGTCTGTAAGCTGTGGCTATTAGCCCTTCAACACGACAAAAAAGCATCACAAGATCACAATTTCTCCAGAGTAGTCTGGTTCACCCTGAATTCGAACACACGAACTGCAAAAACGAAGAGTGGTGCAGGGAAGAGAGTTTTAGGATTTTAGGTTCGGATTTTAGAAGGTTTATAGGTTATAGGTAGACACCACTACACCACTCTTCGTCAAAGACACATAGAGTTGTTTTAGGATATAAAGGTAGGTCCCACCCTGGGAGGTCGATATTTTGGTATATGAGGGTAGGTCAGGACATCAAATACTCTGCAAGTCGCGACAGATATGCTCACACATATATCTTACAAGAACAAGCACCTACAACTTGGCCTTGGTATCCTTCAACCACTGCTCATACCAAACCTTTCCAAACTCCTTCCTCTCACCCTCCCTACTCTGCGCCTCCTCAAATCTCTGCTCATGCGCCTCCATAGCAGGCCCTCTCATAAACTCCACCAAGCCCGCATACATCTCCATTTTCAACACGCCGTAAACACCAGACTTGCTCTTGTCAATGAGTTCCTTCTCCTTGATAAAGTTGAGTAGGTCTTCGAGGCCCTTGGGCGCAAGACCGTCGGCGATACCAGCTGCCAAGGCGTCCTCGCCTGTGAAGCGCTTGGCTTCGAGGACGAGACTTCGATAGGTGGAGTGGGAGTACTTGATACGGAAGAGAGCTGACATGGCGGGCTTGAGGGGTGCGCCGAAGACAAGCTCGTTGAGACAGAGGAAGCCTCGTGGGGTGGGCGCGAGACGGTAGTCTTGCGCTGTGGCGAGCATGAGACCGCCTGCAAAGGCATGACCGTTCATGAGGGCCACTGTAGGCATAGGGTATCTGAAACAGTCAGCACACCACTCGTAGGTACTCAGTATTATCGTAAACGTACGTCAAGAAGCGAGCCCAAACATCATAGAGCAAAGGCCAGAAACCGTCTGTCGCAACAGCATGTTCCAGATCAAGACCATTACTATAAAACTTTGGAATTCCAGAAGTAGTCGCTACAACACCGTGAGGATAACCAAACTCGATGATATCAAGGGCGTTGAGAAAAGCTTTGAGAACGGGTGTTGTAAGACGGTTGTCGGGTGGTGAGAGGAGGGTGAGAAGGTAGACTCTCGGTGAGGGTTCTGTGCATGTGAGAGTTCCGCCGGGATGGGCGCCGCATTTTGCGATGGGGAGTGTGAAGAGAGTAGACATTTTGTGCTGTGAGTGAGATGAGAGAATGTGAGGGAGAGTGAGCGTTGTTGGGTGGTATAAGAGGTTGGTATAAGAGCGTGGAGTTGAAGGCCGGCTAAGGAAAACACCTCGGCTTGTGGATATGCCTGGGGTAAGTACATGATGAATCTGAGATGGGCATCTCGGCATATGAGATCACATGATATAAGAAGTGTTACGATACTAATATATTGAAGAGTAAGATACAAATGTTTATATATGAGTCTAAATATTATTATGAATATGTATTCATTGTTGTTTATGATGCCTTCAACGTCTTGCATGTGAACGATTTAAAGATTCTGGGGTAAAAAGATACGTACCGCTCATGATGATACGGTCCCACTTCCCATGACGGCCACGCACCCCAATTATCACCAGCCAATCAGCAGACCTTCTCTTCAAGCCCCACTGGAGCTTTCATTTCCTCCAACTCCAAAAACCCCCACTAACCAAACACCGTAGCCTCTCATAACCACCACAAAAGAGAAGACCGCAATCATGGCTTCAGACGCCAAAGATAAAGGCTCCATCGTCTTCTTCCACCCTGATCTTGGCATTGGAGGTGCTGAGCGCCTTGTTGTCGATGCTGCGGTCGGTTTGCAGGAGAGGGGACATCGGGTGGTGATATTTACGAATCACTGTGATCCGAAGCATTGCTTTGATGAGTGCCGTGATGGTAATGACTCTAAGTCTGTTGTATGTGAGATGGCTAACAGGACTAGGAACCCTCGATGTTCGTGTTCGCGGCCACTGGCTGATCCCAATGTCCATCCTCTCGCGCCTCACAATCCTCTGCGCCATCCTTCGACATGTTCATCTTCTCATCCACATTGCTCTCGCCGGCGAACTACAAGCCCTACGACCACGCGCCTTTATCGTCGATCAACTCTCCGCTGGCCTACCTCTCATGCGCTACATCGCTCCATCCTCGCCAATCCTCTTCTACTGCCACTTCCCCGATCTTCTCCTCGCGCAAGGCCGCGAGTCTGCCCTCAAGCGCTTGTACCGACGTCCGTTTGACTGGCTTGAGGAATGGACTATGGGTTTTGCGAGCGCTATGGCTGTGAACTCTGGTTTCACAAAGGGCGTGGTTAACAATACGTGGCCGAATTTGAAGAAGCGCACGGAAACGAAGGTGGTGTATCCTTGTGTGGATACGGAAGTCAAGGAGAAAGAGGACGTTGGCAGTGATGGTGATGTTCCGTTCAAGGGCGAGAAGATCATCTTGAGTATCAACCGTTTTGAGAGGAAGAAGGATATTGGTCTTGCAATTAAGGCCTTTGCTGCCATTCCTGAAGCTGAGCGCAAGGGGTGCAGGCTCATTCTTGCAGGTAGGGCATACATGAGCCTTTGACCCGACAGTAATGCTAACTCATCATTAGGCGGCTACGATCCTCGCGTCGCTGAAAACGTACAATATCACTCCGAACTCGAAGCTCTCGCCTCTTCCCACGGTCTCGAACACCTCACCACAAAGACCCTTATTACTGCTCTATCTGCGCCTCCAACCGTTCCCGTGCTCTTCCTCCTCTCGATCCCCAACTCCCTCAAGGCATCGCTCCTCCGCTCCGCTCGCATTCTGCTTTACACACCCGCCAACGAGCACTTTGGAATCGTTCCCCTAGAAGCCATGCTTGCCCGTACACCAGTACTAGCCGCTGATTCAGGTGGTCCCGTGGAAACAATCGTCGACGGCGAGACGGGATGGCTGCGATCGCCGAAGGACGTAGATGCTTGGGCCGATGTCGTGCGCAGTGCGCTGAGACTTAGCGATGCTGAGGTGCAGAAGATGGGCGACAAGGGTGCTGCGAGAGTGAAGGAGTTGTTTGGGAGAGAGCAGATGGCTAAGCGATTTGATGAGATCCTGGTTGATATCGTCAGCAAGAAGCCCCCTGTATCTGCCATGCGAACAGTCGTCAACGCCGCTGGAGTCTTGGTGGTTTGTGTTCTGGGATTGGTGGCATCAGCGCTTCTTGCTAGCAAAAAGGAAGAAGTAGTATCGGAATTTGCAGTCTAACAAGGTTCATATAGACATCGCGATTGAAGCGCATCTTTGAGCGGATGCATAGTTGTTTAATACACTATCGAATTTCACTTCACTCCCAGTACATATAAATTCTTGTATTAGGCTCAGAATTCTGCAGTTTCAAGGGGCTATTATTGTCGATGTCAGATGCACAGCACCGACACAAATCTTCAATAGATGGAATGACATCCAACGAAAGAAAGCAACAAATCTCCACCCTATCTATGCAAATGCACGCAAGCCTCCCTATTTCCCCAGGGCAGGCTGCTCTGTTGCCGCCATGTATAGCCCAGCATGAAAAAATGCAAGGGATTCATTCTGATTCCTCCTCCTCATCATATATATAAACAATGCGTCCGTCAACATAGGACTGGCTTCCGACGAAGCGGTGACGTTCTGGGCCTCTCTGCCTTTGATCCGATATATATTCATCCTTATCCTCCTCCGTCATTCATTCCGGCTCATAAACCCGTCATTATTCTCATTTCCTCATCCATACATCCTGCCCACGAACTACTAACCATCCCAAAAACAACACAGGATAAATCTTTATAGCAGCGGAACCACCCATGATATGCCATAAATAGCAATGCAGTAACAATCCCTCTCTGGGATGTGAGCAACGATCTAATAACAAGAAAACACCCCATGTGATGCCAAGCACCGTACAAAGCGAAGGCCTCATGCTCCAAAACATTTCTTCAGGCAACTGAAGATGCAACTCAACCCATAATGAAAAAGACTCTCAATGCTTGTCTGGCCTCTGACAAAGTATGTGATAAGAGAAATAAATTAACTTAATAAATATGCCACGAAATGGGGAAGGGGTATCATGTTTCATAGGGTGACGTCCCCTCGTCACCATATGCAGAGGTCGGCACCTTCTTGGCAGTTTCGGTGCTCGCAATGCTGATGTTGGTGTCACGTCTTCGAGGGTTGAAGACTGGAGGTCGTGGCGTAGTCTGCGCTGGCTTCTTTTTTGACTTGGCCATGAGCAAGATGCCGTCATCACTGCCATCGTCGTCGAAATCATCGTCAACAGGCCGGGCAACGGGAGTGCTTGTCACCGAGTCCCGCGCACCACCTTCGAGGTGGACAGCAAGAGAACCGCTGTCCATAGCAGGAGAATTGCCGTACACGTGATCGATGGGGAAGCCGTTGGGTTCCTTGTTAAAAGCCGGTGGCGTCAGACTGTCGGTGGTTTCGAGTAGTTGTGGGTGAGCGCTAACGATGCCTGGCTTGCACAGCAGCTCGGCTTCCATGTCGGCTGAAACAGAGCTGGCACCACTGAGCAAGGCTGGCAGAGAGGGATCGGACTGGAATGCCAACATCCGCTCCGATGTGCTGGCTGTAGAAGGGAGTGCCGAGACAGGGCTGGTAACACTTGGGCTAGTCGATGGGGTGGCCAAAGCTTCCATTGAATCGACACTTGACGACTTAGTAGTGGGCATGGTATCTGCGCGTGGGAGGGGTTCATCTCGAGTCCATTCCTCCTGGATAGGCGAGGGCGGGCAAGAGTAACTGATGTGTTCAGCCTGTCGATCACATCGTCGCATGCAGAGATCTTCCGAGTGACGAGGTGGTGACGTTCTTGTGATGGGAGCACTATCCATTCTCTGGAGAGATCGGGGTCTGGTCTTGTTGCAAGGTTCAGCAGGATGGGTTGAACCCACGTGGCTATACTGCTGCCCGGTGGCGGCAGCAAGAGATGAAGAGAGTATGGAAGCTTCCAAGCGTCTATGGTGCGAAGCCTTGCCCAAGTCAACGGACTTGACAGGTCGTCTTCCATGACGAGGTGGTGCTTGGACACTGCCTGGGGCAACGGTGGTATTGACGCCCACCTTAGGTTCAGCGCGCTTATCTGAACTTGAAAAGAGGCCACGGTCGACCGACTTGGACCGGGAGCTTTCATCCATCGAATCCGTCATGTCCAAGTCACGAGTCTTTCGGACTGTCTCGGCACCTGAGTCATCTGGTCCGCCGACTGGGCTGGAGAAGTAAGGGGTAGTAGGAGTGGTTTGAGAGATGGGCATGGGGGAACCAAGATGGAGCCAGTGTTGAGTGGTTTTGGTATGTCCGTGGCTATGAGCGTGACGATGGAAGGGCCATAGAGAGGCTGCCGATGATGACTTCTCAGGTTCGCGTATCGACTCGCTCTCGCTATGAGCATGATGATGGCCTCGGTAAACGCCGGCTTCGGGGAGAACAGTCGCCAACGGGTCATAGATGACTGATTCGGGCTGTGGGCTGACTGATTGGCTGACTGAGAGAGGATGTTCAGGCGCCGCGGCAGCATCTCGCATGGCACTCGCAAAGTAGTCGTCAGGACGGAGACTCTTGCGTCGGTTCTCGCGGAACTGTCCGTGAGGAGTCGGAGGCCCGTTATTGTACATGCTTACGTTGTCGCCGGTGGAGCTAGCAGCACTACTGTTGGCCCGATGTCGCGTTTTGCTATCACTTCGTTCCACCAGGGGGTGCATTACCTTGCCAACAGCCTTCTTAACCACAGAGCGAGCACGCTCGAGAAAGGTAAGAGGCACAACAGCGGACGACATGTCCCTTTCGTCGACTTGGATCTTTCGACCAGAAGAAGGGCGAGCAGGGTCAGTATCGTCGAGCCATCCGATAGGATTCATGATATCCTGGACGACCCATGGGTGACGCTTGATGTCTCGAAGTCGAATTCGCTTTTCGGGGTTCTTAGTGAGCATTTGTCGTAGCAGGTCAATAAGAAGGTTGTCGACTTCTTCATAGACCAAGTCGTTGTCGTCACGGTATGGGTGCATATTCTGGCGCTTGTAGAGGGAGGTGGCGGCTGGCGAGGTTGAGGGGTGAACGGGCATTAAGCGGCGCTTGGGGATGTAGACTTCCTCTGTTGCGATCTTTCTGAACATCTGAAATTCATCTTCGGCGAGGAAGGGGATTCGAGCGTAGATCAGGCAGTAAAGTGTCACACCAAGAGACCAAACGTCGATTTGTTCCGAAACCTTGGGTTGTTCTGTGTCCAAGTCGGTGTAGCACAACTCGGGAGCAAAGAACGCAGGTGTACCGACTGTCTTGGCAAGTTCAAGATCATCGTCGAAATCCTTGGCCTCAGATTCGGATACTGTCTCGTCATATTCGCCATCACGAATAGGTCGACCAAAGTACGAGACGCCAAAGTCGGAAATCTTGACGCGATGATCTTTACTCCACAAGAGGTTGGCTGGCTTGATATCGCGGTGGACGACACCTTGATAATGCAAGTATTCAAGACCTAGAACAGTATCTCTGAAAGTTGATCGAGCTTGGTCAAAGGTGAAGCATGGAACGTAGGAGAAGTCGTCTGAGAAGGGGTCATGTTGTTGAGGGTTGAAATCAAGAGAGGACATGTGTGAGATGATCGAATCAGCCATGCTGGGAGAACGTCCTCGGAAGCCTTCGTCGACGTACGGGCCATACATGGTGCCATCCAACGCAGTACTCGAAGTGGGATTTGATCGGAGAGCGCTGGGGGTTTCCATATCGTCTTCCCAATTGATGAACTCGTCGGGATCTTCAACGGCCCGAGTTGACGAAACAACAGATCGTGATCGTGAATGTGCCCTTGGTTCATCGCGGAAAGTTTGTCGTGAAGTAGGTCTCGACGGTGATCCGTCACTGATGGCAAAGTCTTGCATAGAGGATATACGAGACTGACTTCCCAGGCTGCTACTAGGCTCGTCGGCTCCTCCATTCTCGAAACTCCAGTTCATCTGGCCCGGGTAATTCTGTGCCATCTTGGCTCGTTTCATTTGCTTGATAGCCTGGCGGTGTTCAAGTAGTTGTTCGTAGCGATCCTCTTCGGGAGTTGGGAGCTCGCCTCGCATTTCTCGTTCTATGCGTCGTCGTTCGAATAGACAGATGTGAGGGAGACCCTTCTTGCGCCACACAACTTCACCAAGTTCCACATGCTCAAGAACCATGTAGATCTTCTTGAGCTCAGGGTCGTCAATGACTTCGAGAAGGGCGACGACATTCGGGTGACGGATCTTCTTCAAGATGGCGATTTCCTTCTTCGTCTTGTCCTGGGGAGACTTTGCTGTAACCTTTCCAAGGCGACGCTTCTTGGAGAAACGTGGGATGATTTTGATAGCCACATTTTCGCCTGTTTCGAGGTTGCGAGCCAGCTTGACTTTACCATGCATTCCACGTCCAATTTCTTCAATCACTTCATATTGGTTAATGAGCTTGCGGCCTGTGGCGGTATCTGAGTCAATGAGGGCCTTGTGTGTCCTATGATTGACAAATGCGTTAGTGTCTGATAAGTGAAACGGTCGGTGCATGCCAGGCTCCCTGGCCATCTCCCCCGCCATAGGCGAGCAAAGCCGATTGGAGGCGGAACAAGCGAAAAAGGGCAGAGAACTGCGATACGATATTCCCACCGCAGTTTGAAATGCTTACTCTCTAACTTTGTGCATCTGCAAAGGGTGCAGGAGAGGACTTTGGGTGTAATTGGGAGGTGTATTGTTCTCGGATACGGAGGTGACGAGATTTTGCCTGGAAGGCGAAGGACTGAAAAGTCCTGGCGAAGACATCGGAGTACTGTTGGCGGTCCTCAAAGGCATGGAGGAAGAGGAGGGGAGATGAGTATGCAGCGGCGGGGCACCGCGAGCCGTCGACGAGAGGGAGGCGGACGACTGTTGCTGCGAAAGAGATGTGTGGTGGTGACGGTGGGAGTGGTGATGATGGTGCTGGTAGTACTGTGAGGGATCCATGATGGGCGAGATTGTTGGAGCGGCTGTTGTCGCCTCGACATGCTGAAGGGGAGTGCAGAAGGCTCGCACAAGCGGGCCGCGAGTTGTTGAAGTCACAACGGGATGTGACGAGGAATCGATCTATAGTACCATTGTCGCGTGTAAAGAGAAGCGTGTATCGAAGCGGAGTGAGGATCGAAAACGTCGAAGACGTTGAAGTTGAGGAACGAGAGATTTGGTGAGAGGAGAGGTTGAGATGGTGACTAGAGTAGTTGGTAAAATAGGCTGGACAAAAGAGTAGAGCAAGTGGAGCAGTGCAATAAGAGAACAGGTCTTGTGTGTTTGGGGGTGTGGATATTTTAGTGGTGTTGGTGTTGGACTGGACCCAGTGGAGTTGGTGATGATGGAGGTGGGTATGGAACTGCCTGTGAGTGGGAAGGCACAGTGTCCGTCTCTTTTACTAGGCCCATCTCTCACTGCAACTCTGAATGGTGTGTGGTTCGTAGTGGCGACCGCGGAAAAGAAGGGCCAGTGGTTGTCGCAGCTGAGTTCGATCTGATAGCGGTACCAATCTGGTAAGTCTCTACTGTGCGAGTTCCGAGGAAATCTTCTGGTCTGTGCTTCGACCCATGGCGCCATGCCCTCCTTCAGATCAACCCTGGGCCAAATTCAAAGATACGCTGTTAGATCCACTGCCCTCAAACACTGCAGCTTCACCCCTCAACCTTATCCACTCCACCTCGTCCAAAATCTCCAGTCAGTAGCGGCCACCGTCCACCGTCCAGCGTCACCAAAATACAACACACACAAATCTGTTCCGTTTTCGCTCAGCCCGCCGAGGTTTCGTCGTCCCCAGCAGAAAAGACGACTCATTCATTGCCAGCACAACAAGTCAATAAACCGCGCAGTTATCTCAAATTTGCGTTGCAACTGAATACCTAATGCCGTCAGGTACCTGCCTACCAAGTTAGGTATCTATGGCCTACGTAGTAGATATCACCGTCTCTTCTCGACAAGCCAAGCCATCCAGATACAGAAGGGGTGTGTGGCTTCTTTATCTACACTCCCCTGAGCGCCGCCTTTTTCACTCTTTCTGTGACGGCGATGTCTGTTTCTGCTGGACTACGGAGTGGACCGGCCGCCTTCAAGGATTCGGCCCCTGCTCGCTCCTCCATCCGCTCCGTTCCTCGCTCTCTAGCACACGTCGTCTGTTGCCGTCGCCGTCGCCGCTGGCGTGGTCATCTCTCTCGACAAAAGTATAGATGAGGTTATCTCGAAACGCATCTTGGCTTGGCTCATCATTCGATGCAATTTCTCAACATAAAGCCACCACAAGTCAGAAGCGAGGCTTTCCCTAGGCATGCCCGACGAGGGTTCTCTCAAGCGAGCCAGCACTGAGCATTTCCTGGCCTTGTCCGAAATGTCTTGGCAACGCTTGGGCTGGCCAGGATGGCTTTGGGCTTGACGATTTACAGTGTCCTCTGCAGCGCTGCAGAAAGAGTAACACCGATGGGTGCTTGACATTGGTTAAAAAATACCCGGTTTGCTCAATGGAGGGAGGCCCTGGCGCCATCTGACTGGACGGAGGCATTCAACCAAAGTGCGATAATTCCCTTGGGCAAGCCTTCTATGGTCGAAGTCAATTCATTGTTGTGCTAAGCTCACCACGTCCTGAGAATACGTGAGGTGTATGGCTTGTGATTTCTAACTGACTGCATGGTTATCTGGAGACTGGGCAATTGACTTACAACTCAAAAAGATTTGATTGGAGCCTGTAAGGCTCCATGGTTACATCTCGTGGAAATTTACACGCATTGGACGAGAGCAAAGCTCAACCTTGGAGGTCCTGAACTGTCTTGCGTAGCTGACGCAATGGAGACAGCCAGGGAACTCGAACAGACAAGACAAGCAAGGCTCAAGCGAAGCGATTGCGGGTCAAAGTGCGGGAGGCGGTGATGCTGGAGGAGAAGTGGCACTAAGAGATACCTGACCTACCCATATCGCAGGCTTCTGATTCGTACTGTAAGACTGTGCCATTGAGGACACTGCGGGCGTCTTCAGAGCCCGAAAACATCACAGACGGTGCCCAAGCATACTGTACAGACACTGCCCTCAAACCGTATCTGAGAAAGTATTGCTGCTGTCAGTGGGGCAGCGTTTCGCTGGGGACGGGAACTTAAGTTTACGGTACCTTACCTTCCCAGGTCATGATGCATCACTCCAGCTGTCAGAGCCTTGGAAAGATCCATGATTCTGTGGGAATTTCCAGGAGATTCCTCGAGCACATCACTGGGGCTGCTGTGATTGCTTTACTTGTACAGCTCATCAGCGATTGATCTGGATCATTACGAGCCCCTGAAGCGCAGTCTCAAACTCAATTTACTCAGCTTCAGGCGAAGAAAGTGATAAGATAACGTCAGGCACAACGAATGGACGACAGGATAAGCAATTGTCATCGAGCCAATGGTAGTTTACCATTTTCAACTTCCATGTGTCTGCGATTTCCCAACTCGTTCGCGTTGGGGTTTGGTGGCTTGGCTAGGCCTTGCGATGTGTTTGGCTGGACCCATTTCGCTGGGGCATTAGTTTTGCTCCCCTGTCCCAGCCCGATAAGATCCGCGTCTCTGAATGCAGGTTTTTTTTTTTTTTTTTCGCTCATTGTTTCTTTGCTTTTTGTCTCTGGCGTGCCTGAGATCATACTTGGGGCATCCTGGCTTAGTCATGTCTTGCCGCCTACTCTACTAAACAACAGATTGGAATTCAAAAAGCCTCGTTTCAGAGATTCAACGGAAGTTGTCCATGCCGCATCAAAAGCGCACTGGCGGTCTTTCTACGCCGCCCTAAACGCCGCTGTCTGCGTCATGGCTGCAGGGCCGAAGTTAATCTGATTCAGGTCCCTCTGCCTGCAAGGATACGGCGTCTGGTCTTGATAATATTTTTTTTGTTCATACCGTTCATACATGGATGTCCAGTGCTTCCAAGGTGAGGTTCTACGAAACCGGGTGGTGCTCGCGTGCCAGTTCAAGTCTCAGTTGCAAACGGTCAGCCTTGAAACGCCGCGACCCTGAACGGTTCAATGTATTGTGAGACTCAGCTTCTCAAGCGAGTCACAAATACGTCCTCATTACGAGTCGATAGATATGGATTGCTGTGCATAATTGTGATGCGTTGCACAGCAGTTCAATGACATGTGGTTGCCAAGATCAACAGTATGGCCGGAGATAGACTTCACTTAGAGCGTCTTGCACCCTTGCACCACGACGAACTAGCCAGTCCGCCGTGTCGATCAGAGTCGGCAATTCTTCGCTGCCCCTTTTTTATTTCCAACCTCCGGGCTTAGGGTCCGTCGTTTGATTCATGCTTGGCTTGGCCAGCTACGCCTCGTATGTCTGAATCACATGCATTCCATGCGCATCTATCGGTGAAGAACGCATAATAGATCGTTCATTCATACTCGACATGATGAGTTCATGTTTTTGTTTGAGGCTCTATTGTTGAAACTATTGGTAAATGGCTCGCCACGATGGCTACTCCATTTATCGGTTTCACTCCCGTACCAACACGCTGTACCGTGCCCTGTTGCCGTATTTTAGCGTCTCGATTCTTTTTGTCTGCACTTTGCTGTACAGACTGGCCGTGTTGTAGGTATATGCATGCAGCTGCACAAGACGGGCATCCGGCCCCCGTCGGTCGTTGCTCCGTGTTTGGCGGACGTTCCTTCCATTGATCCTAGCCCCAGAAGATAGACGTGGTTAAAGATTATCAGTGTAGTGACTATGCTACTGTAGCGTTCTTGAATGGTTCATCATCATAAAGCGATGCCATCGCAGACCTAAATTTGGTGGGCACTTTAGGGTAGCATCCAGCAATTGACTCCCGTCCCGGCAGGCAGGCAGTTGATGTCCGCCCGTTCCATCCTACCTTCCTCTCCTCTCCTGCTTCGACTGCGTACCTGACCAACTTGGGTAGCTGCATCTTCCCCGCCACACTACGGAAGTCTGCATCCACTCTCTGATCCTCGTCATCCCAAGATGGAACTGTTTCTTCTTGTTCAAGCTTAACCTCCAAATCTCGACCGTCAGGCATCTTCACGATACCGCCCAAAGGCCCGAAAGAGCCCAGCAATCACCCGCCAGATCACAGCTTAGCCACTAAGAAGGACACACCCGCACCCCCCGATATTTTGAGGAGACAATAGCGGCAGTCACGTTCAATATCACTTGATCAAGACTACGAGCTAGTCTAGCTGGTAGTTTAACCACCACTAGCACCTGTGATGAGGATACACAACCAACAAACAAGACATCGAATGGATCTAGCCCAAGCTCTTTGATGACAAGAAATTCGAAGCTAGCTGAAACAACGATAAGGATTGTCTCCAATGGCAAATGACAATCCAGCATCCGAGTGGCTTTCACAGATGCACCTCAGGGAACCTGATTTTACCTGAGCGAGCCTGCATTTCTCATGTCTCAGAACGCCATCAAGAAGCAGGGGTCTTAATAGGCAAATTACTTCGTTCATGGATTTCTTGGGCCATTTTTGCATTCTTCGTGCTCTCAGGCGGAGTTGACACTCCTTCAAGCAAGGCTCGATACAAACCTCCCACCCGGTAATCTGAGCAGAGCCTGCTGCAAAAACCCATTAACGCGTTTATTGTCAGGCTATCTGTGCAGAGATCGCGAGACCTTGTATTGATCTTGGCATGCTCAATTTCAACTATGGAACCACTTGTTGCTAATTTCTGCCTTTCTATCATACTGAGATGGCCCCATTCAGCTCCCCGGCAATTTTGTTAATTGGGTAGTTTTCCCCGCAAGAAGGAAACGCAAACCGCTTCATGGAACAAAGACAGGGTCCTCATTGCATTCAGGTTGAGGGGGTTTTGTGGCTCCGACCTTTAGAAACCACCTCACAACCACCAGAGCGTCTCAACACCGGGCCGGCTCGGAGGATGAGCGGAGCACCGAGCGGGCCCGTCCTTTGGGGAAGTCGCTGGGTAATGGAGCACCGTCAGGGGCTGGTAGCCAGCTTGACAGGGGAGGCGAAGCAGGGATAGCCTACGTAGACAACCTCCATTCTCGATTTTCGATATCATCGTCACCCTGAAGGGACCAAGAAACTGTCAGCGCGGCGCCTTACCTCTTGTCCCCTCAACAACGCCGCAGTTGCACAACAATGGCTGGCCCCGTGCCTCGTGGTTGGGTCGTTCAAGAAGCCCAAAACCTTATTGGGAGGCTTTTTGCTTAGTGGCCTGACTGCCGTTCTTCCTTTACGCTCCTTGTCGGCGCTGGTCGGGATGTTGTTGCGTTGCTCGCATGTCACAACCCTGGGAGACAATATTGCAGTCTGCAGGCGCCTGCTTCGGTCTCGATTCAGTTGGACTACCCGTTGCATCAGTAGACCAGGGTACGAATTGAAAGAGGCGCATGCAGAGATACGACGCTATGCTCCTACGATCTCTGTATAGATCCGGCCTGGATGACTTTGAACTCCCAAAGGCATTGTCATCACACTCTTTCTGGCCGATTTCGGCCCGCCTGACACCGTCATAATCCACACCAAGTGCAATTGGTGTCGAGGCAGAATAAGATATTAGCTGACAAGTATGTCTCTTCGACACGCTTCCCGTGACATCAAAAAAAGATATTATTGACCATCAGAGGCTTGATGGAATAGCACACAATAGCAACTCACTTATTAGCGCGCGATGGGTTGTCGATAGTGGGGTGGTTCCCGCTTTGACGATGGCCCCAACCCACACCAGTTATCCCTGCCTGACAACCGTGCATTTGTCGTTCCGTCCCATAATAAGAGCCGAGGCCACGGACCAGCTTCTGTTCACTCTCGTTGCGATTGTTGTTATTAACCTCATTCGATCTCTAGCAACGGCGCAGGGAGAAAAGAGAGCTAAGCGTGCCGCAGATTCATGCAAGCCTGGTCTCCAGATATATACTTCTTTGCTACCATCAAACTTCAGAGAGATCTTGATCCACCAATAAGGTGACATCTGAGCGGTAATACATGTCTTTCCGTGATATTCCCTATTCAAGACATGTCCGCTATGTGATACCGTGCAATCAAGAGAATGCACCACGGCGCTTCGAGTTCCTGCATCTAACGTGGCGGATGTTAACTGATCTGAACGTGGCCATCGCAAAACCAGCACACAATCGGCAGACGAATGATCCCGCTCCAAGTTGACCCTGACCCTGACTGCATTGCATGGGCTCAATGCACAACAAGCGACAGGGGGTGCTACGGTGATTTCCCAGATATCTTGCTGGGCCATAACTCGAATTGTGGCATATCAAACTGTATCAACTCGAGTATCATAGAAATGTTTGTTATTTGTATGGATCGAAGAACGCCCTATGGTTCCTACCATGACAGACATGCCGGGTATACTACCAGAGTCAGATGTGATTATCAAGACCACTTCTATGTGACGGAAAAAGGAAGGTTGGATGCCCGCTGATTGTCCTTGGTCTTGAAGTACCTTGGCCAGCTACTCTGTACCGTACCTGGAAACGTTGATCCCGCCGTAAGCGATGGTAGAGCAGGATGGTGTCTTCCACAATTCTGGCGAATGAGGCGCTGCACCTGTTTCGTCATGTTCTTGAAAGGCGTTCCGGGGCGTTGCATTGCCGAGTCGAATATGCCAAAATGGGTGAGGGCGGGAACTTCAGCCATAGGCTGACGAATAATATTCATGGGGAGAGTCGCTGGAGGAAGACAATTCGTGGTCACTGCCCATCTTGAACGATCAACTACAATCTCACGCACTTTGGCTGTTCTCAACGGAGTACAGGGTGATATTCTTATTTCCAATTCGGGATATTTCGCCCTGTCATATCTGATAAGGCCAAATTTCAGTCCGTACTATCACAATGCCCGTCAGCGTTGATCAACGCCTTTCGTCAACAACGGCTGTCACACCAGACTACATATAACGCTCGTCCTACTATCAAGTACTGGTGATTTCCTCTGTTGCTGCCCTCCTTCTGGGCAATTGCACACACCTTACTGCCTGTCTCTAGAAATGATAGTCATCAGTAATACGCTGCAGGCCTTGGTCTGCCGTCGTACAGTACATACACAACGCCTTTCCCCAATCACCCAATGACTCTTTTCTTGATATCACAAAAAATGATTCGTCATAAATTCAGGGTCAAGGCCACAATCGAGAGGCACACTGTATTCTCTGGTCTAAGCCATTTCGGCTGACTCTTCTGGCAGCTAACTCCTGACATGCTTGTGCCAAGGCAGTGAACAAAGTGCACTGTGAAAGGACTTGGCCCCAAGGTATCTCGTGGGATTGCTCGCAGATACCAGCCTTACCCCTGTATGAGGGCACAGACAGATTGATGGCTAAGAAACCTTAGTACCCTCCCCCCGGACAGAAACTGGCTGACCAGAACTGCAAATAGATCTTCAGATCCAGCAGAACACGGCAGCCAAAATGAAAGATGCACTAATTCCCGGAGATGGTGCTCCATAAGCCAAACGGACTGAGGGAGGAAAGAAAACTTAGGATCTTCATCACAGATGACGAAAAGACTTAGGCAAACTATTCCAAACTTGGGGGACTATTTGATGTGTTTATTTTGACATCTTTTATTAAGGCCTCAAGTTTCCTTGCACCCTGGGGACAGAACACGGTAGACTTGGCTGTTTTATTGCAACTCTAGGTTCACATAAACCCTTGTCACCACTGAGCAAGGCAAGTAGTAGTTGGTGATGATGCTTAGATTGATTCGTCAGCCTCGGTGATCGCCCAAGCACTTCTGAGGCTGTTGGTAGTTGAGCCACATTGCTACGCAATCCTTCATGAGATCGGATTGCTGGACTCGCTCGCACACAGCTTCTAGGTTATGATATGAGTTCCTCTGGCTGGTATCTGAATAGTAAGATAGAACATTGCTGCTATCAATGGTTGAAATGAAACACGCGCGGAGTTGTTACGTTCACCAGGTTTGTTGGTGGGAGTGTGAGTGATTATCATCACACCAGGAACAGGGTTGTTGAAGAAAAAGCAAGCAAAACAGTTCCACTACCTACCCGAGGACTTCGCATGGAAATCGCCCCAGGTTGAGTGAGAGATACTGACGAGGATCTAACACCCCTGACATTCACTAGGCCATAAACACAGCATCATACCATCAACGACACGACATGAGCCGGCGTTGAGGTTACTCCTCCAAAGGCTAGTGATGGAGATGGTGGGTGCAGTCTTGGTCAAATCTGGTTGTTGAGACTGTCAACAGTCTTCTTTTGAGCCTTCACATGTGTCCGTGCCTTTGGATTCGAGACAAACAGACATCCCTGAACGCCTCGGGCGGGAATGGGCTATCTGTTGGGCGAGTGAGCTTGGGGCCGGGGTAGGCTCATGCTCATGCACAACATGCTCGCTTTTGCGGATCCCAAAAGTGATAGAAATGGGGACATGTACCCATCCATCCATTCATGTGTATTGGTGGTGTGGGGAATCAAGGCATGTCTTCGTCCAACGTCAATATGATGTCGTCTTTGGTGAGCAATGTTGGAGGGTTAATGACTGATTGATTGATCGATTACTCACAGGCTACCGTACCCCCAGATCAACTATCGATTTGCTCAAGAGTTTTAGGAATAGTCTCCTGTCTCATGAGGGTTGCGTTGATACGAATCCGGATATCACCCAAGTCGACTCAGGGTCGTATTGATTAATGTCGACGATATCCGTATTTAGGTCAACATGACCATGGTAAGACATCCGAATGAACAGGGTAAGTTCAGAATCTTGAATCAAGTCAAAAACACGAATATCTAATATTACAATAGCCTGCCTTATCTGCTGTACACGACTTACATCAGATCAGCCCTAACTCAAAGTCTGGGTCCAGGGTCCCAGGAGAGCGGAAGCCACTCAGCTCTCATCACAACTTTGCGCCCGTAAGAGATGGACTCTATCTTACAATCATCACAGCGTTAACTCCTGACACCGCCTTTCTGGTAAGGACACTAAAACGGAACAACCTAAGCGCTGCTCACGAAATCGATAGAGTCGCAATCACCACGCGAGATCATCAATGCATGTCTCGGAGCCCATGTTCTTGGACTATGAGTGGATTAGTACACTCCATCTCAAGATCTCAAGAGACTCCCGAAGGGGTTGCAACAAGAATCCGGACATTTTTGTAGAGCAAGGCTAATATACAAAACAAACTCTAAAGGATATCGCCATAGGATTTCACAAGTCCACGACAAGACCAACGCTTTCACCACATCTCCTCAGCTCTTTTTGTCCAAAAACTGTTCACGTCTCGTGGAAGTGCAGAGAGAGCTTAATACCGGAGATTTCTTGCACCTTGTGCCTCCTTTTGCCGGCTGTTTCGTAAGGCTGTCGATCTTTGTTTAGAAAAACCTGCTATCGAGCAAGCTGATGCTCAAGATTGCAACCCCATACATCATTCGGGGTCTTGCCCCCTTTCCTCCGCTTCGTACGTGGCAGCCACGGCAGTCCGTGATCTGATTCCAATACCTTTGCCAAGTGTCTCACAATCCCCACCGCAGAAGCAGCTGCTTTATTAGCAGCCACACAATGATCTTTGTCAAAACCACCCAGCCAGTCATATCATGAGATCTAGACAGTGCGCCGGATATGGAAGCAAGGCAGGATGAAGATTGTCACCTATCAAGCAGCGGGAGGCTGAGGGAGGTGGTGCTGAGCACAGACTGCACTGTCGAGAGGCTGCGGATGTTGGGAATTTTTGATGCGTGATGGATGGGCTGGACCCTAGGTCGGCTGACAAGCCATGTGATGCTCTTAGCTGCCCCCGAGCTTCCCACCAGCTGGACACCGGAATCTGTTGCTCACTTCCAGCAATATTGGTTCCAGGTATGGCCCAGACCGTGAAGCGGCGAAGAAAGTGCAACGCGTACTTTTTGATTGAACGCGACGCGTGCGAGGCTCAGCCAGCCTTGCTGTCTTCTGCTCCGAAAGGTGTGTGGGCATTCCCACTATGGTGTGTCAAGTTCATATGCTACTTATAACCAATAGGCTAGGCAGTCACCGGATCTATTCGGATTCGCCTTCGCGTTCTGAGTGAGACATGACATGAGAACCGGGCAAAATAATGGAATGCTCGGAGCATGAAGTGGTGTATGAAAGAGACGGACAGCACGGAAGAGATTGCTCGTATTGACCTCTCTGACATTTCGTGTACCATGTTGCAGCCTATTCAGAGAACGGCGGCATTATTGTTGGGGTTTCGTGAAGTCGACTCCCAAGATGTCGTCCATCCATGGCCCGACCTTTGCCGCATCGCCATCAGCCATGCCAGCTTGGGAAAGCTGTGCGCCCCAGCTGGAGACGTTGTAGATGGATGATGATGTGAGTGCTGACAGACCATCTTCTGAAGCGGGAGACGATGGACCTTCGGCTGTGAATTTGTCTACGACACCGTGTCTAGCTTCGAAACGAAGCTTAGTCTATGTTCTCGTTAGTTGCTTTGTCATATGCCTCTGCCAAGCTGTGTGTCACCCACGTCAAAGTCTAGTTGAGGACGCTCTCGAGGGTCCTCCTCGTACGGGAAAGTTGAGAAGGTGAATTTTGGTGTCTGGCCATAGATCCAGTCTCGCGACTGTAGTTCCTCGTACCCTTTGCTGATGCTATCCGTCTCAAGTACCTTGTCACTGATGACCTCCCGGACATCAAAGTTGCCGTACATGCTTGCAAACTGTTCCACAACGGCAGCCTCGAAAGCAGCATTCTCGATCCCGACATTCCGGACAGGGCTGCGGACACTGTCAACGCCACGAGTCTTGATGTATGGCTCAGCGGGTGAACGCAACATGCCTGAGATGTTGGTCAGGTTTGGACTGCGGAGGAGACATGTTCCGTGGTGGAGAGATCGAAGACGAGTGAGTTTATATGCGGACCCTGAGATCTTGTAGGTGCCGATTGGATCATCAGGGATATCTATAACGATGTCGTGTCGCTCATTGACACGCGTATTTGGCCTTCCAAGAGATGAGAGAGCTCTTACGACCATCTCGGCGTGCTTGTTCCGATCAAAGACTGCAGGAGGGCAAATGACGCTAAAGTTGACATTTCCTTCATCGTGAAAAACAGCGCCTCCCCCTGAACGACGACGGACGAGCTGCACTGGTCCACCAGTCCAACCTACGCTGGCAGGATCATTACGGAACTGGGCCAGTCTTCGAAGATTCACTTCCATCCATGGATTTTGGTTTCGACCAAAGACAATACAGGGGTCATTGGTGTAGAGGAAGAGTATGGTCGACTCTGGGGGCGTCTTCTGGAGAAGATGGTGCTCAACAGAGAGGTTCAGGAAGGGATCACGAGAAGTTGAAGTGTATACTTGGATCTTATTGGATGAATGAGATGCTGCATCGGTGAATTGGCGTCTTGATATGGTTGATAATGAGGGGAAATGTCGTGATATGTTTCGAGGCGTTGAGCCCAGAAACGAGCGATTGGGCCGCATCATGATGGCAAGAGCCAATATCGGAATAGAATTTGGGAATTAATAAGATAAAGTCACAGATAGACATGCAGTTGGACCGGAAATACGGTATTATCCAAGGCAATGGATGAGATTCGTCGTTGAAGCTACTGTATCCAATGAGCAAAAGAGTTGAGAAAACAACCGTTCGGTTGTTCTCAGCCTCGGAGACGGAAAACTCCAACTGAAGTTGACCCCGCCGCGCACCGGAAATAGGGCGCTGAAAGCCCTGTAAATTTTAGGGGCAGTTTCAGTTCCGCAACGGACGGTAGCGGGTGCGGGTTTGGGAAACATCCAAACCAGTGAGATTGCTGTGCCTTGCAGAAAAAGGAAAGTACCGAGTGAGGAAAGGTCTTGATTGATAATCTGGATCGAGATGTGTTTTGACATGACGTTTTGTATCCGTTAAGATGGAGAATGTTCACTGAGGTATTTGGATCTGGGTATCTGGCTTTAGTGGTATGCCCCTGAAGCTACAGCTATTGGCTCTGACTTTACAGCGGAAGAGCGATTATCCAGACTTTTTGGAATCAGACCAGATGCATGGATGAACATCAATTGAGTCACAGCAACAGCGCCCCGATGTCGCTTAATGACAGGTATATAATACGGTCTTTCTAAGTTATCTAATAGCTCATGTTTTTTATCTGACAACTTAGCGTCTACTCTACAAGAGTTGATAATTCTTAGGGATCCTCTGAAGTCATCAACTGAGGCTATCTTCCCTGGCCAATCAGATCTCTAACAAAACATCTACCGTGTTGCCCCTCCCCCGCGCTTTCCAAACGCACAAAAATTTGGACCGAAATCGGCAGGAACGAAGTCCCCCTCCAGACCAAGAACAGCCTCATATCTTCCCCTTCCATTCTCCAACGGCCGCCATCTTTCTTCTTCCTTTGCCCAAACAAAAAACTCATCAACCAAACACTCTATCTTTCCCTACCATCAACTCAATCATCAACACATTACAATCATCATGTCCAGCATTGGGCAAATCTTCCGCGTGACGACGTAAGTTTCTATTTTCTCCCGCCCGTCCATGGCTCTACCCCACCATCGACAAACCGTCCAGCTAACAATCATCTCTTTGTCTTACAGTGCTGGCGAGTCACATGGAAGGGCTATCTCGTGTATCATCGATGGCTGCCCTCCCGGCCTGGACCTCACAGAGGCCGATATCCAGCCTCAGCTGAACCGTCGTCGACCAGGTCAATCGGCCATCACCACGCCTCGTAACGAGAAGGACCGCGTCACCATTAACTCTGGCACCGAAAATGGCGTCACTCTCGGAACACCGATTCTGTTGACCGTCCCCAATGAGGATCAGCGACCAAGGGACTACGGTGATAAGACCATCGACATGTACCCTCGTCCCAGCCACGCAGACTGGACTTACCTCGAAAAGTACGGGGTTAAGGCCTCGTCAGGTGGTGGTCGCAGCTCTGCACGCGAGACTATTGCTCGAGTGGCCGCTGGTGCTGTTGCCGAGAAGTGGCTCAAGGAGGCCTACAACATTGAGATTGTTGCCTTTGTCAGCTCTGTCGGAACCATCAAGCTTTTCGCTGATACAGAAGCCATGAGCACCGATCCTGCCTTCCTCAGCCTCGCCGAGACTCTCACCCGCGAACAGGTTGACGAATACCTCCCAGTCCGATGCCCTGATGACGCCATTGGCCGAGCCATGGAGGCTCGCATTGCAGAGCTGCGCGACCAGCACGACAGCACTGGTGGAACAGTCACCTGCATTATCCGCAATGTGCCCTCTGGTCTTGGCGAGCCCTGCTTCGACAAGCTCCAGGCTAGCCTTGCCCACGGTGTGATGTCTATTCCCGCTGTCAAGGGTTTCGAGTACGGTTCCGGTTTCCATGGTGCTGAGATGACTGGCAGCAAGCATAACGATCCTTTCGTGCCAGCACCTGCCCTCGACGCCGCCACCCAGAGGACAGGCATTCCTCGCTCCAGACTCCAAACGAAGACGAATCATTCCGGCGGTATCCAGGGTGGTATCAGCAATGGTATGCCCATCTTCTTCAGAGTCGCTTTCAAGCCTCCTGCCACCATCAGCCAGGACCAGATCACAGCACTTTACGATGGCTCGGGCGAGGGTGTTCTCGCTGCTAAGGGAAGACATGACCCCTGCGTTGTGCCTCGCGCTGTCCCTATCGTCGAGGGAATGGCGGCGATTATGGTGGCAGATGCTCTCATGCAACAGAATGCGAGAAAGATGTCTACAGTTAAACCATAGAATGGCAATGGTAGCGCGAATGGCAAGGACAACGATGAGGACCATGGCAAGGAAAACGAGAGGATCGCAGTGCATTAGATACCAAAACGGAGAGTATGAGATGGGACTTTTATTGACATGAGGGATGACGACTTTAGACTATTCTTAACTTATGTTTAGCTTTTCAATCCAAAGGCTTGAGTAATCCTTACAATAATGCTCTTGACGTTTGTGAATGACCATCCCGATAAGCTTATGCTTCTATGACCTAAGCCTGGGTTTTTGATCCTAAACCTTGTACTAGTGTTCTTCTGAGGCTTCTATATATTTCTCAAAGTTGTTTACAAGTTCTTTGTAGCCTTGGGTGAATTCAGAGACAGATGAGTAGAAGGAAGATAGCTGGGATATTCTGTTTTCCTCGAAAGTGCCACATCATCATAGGACACATGTGAAAATAGTAATGATAATTCTTTTCGTATTTATTCTTATACTCTTCATATATGAACAAGCTAATGCCTCGCAACCTTTCTAATTCGATAATATCCCAACGTCGTAATGCATCAACTCCCCCTGAACAATAACCACGTCTATGCTTGGGGGTTCAGGGGTGTGGGTATCATGGCCTTTCTGAGACACAAAAAGAAAACTCCAAAGGAAAAAAGATCCTTGATCCAATCACACCTTCTATCTTATCTCGTACTTTTTAGTGCTGGCTCTTTTTTTACTCTTCTCCCGATTGAGTTGCAGCTGTTTCGCTCTCCGTCTCGGCTGTGGGCTTGCTTCGAGCTGAGTCTCCATCTCGAGCCATCAGCATATCCTTTTCGGCTTGAATAGCCTTTTCTCTTCGTTGTTCAACGTCTTCTCGACGAATCACCTTTCGTAGGCCCTCGCTTGCTTGGAGAAGACCGTCGATGCTGATGGCGTGCTCTGTCATTTGATGACTGATGTATGTGTATATTCCGGCAGGTGTGTTGCATTGCAGGAGGTTTCCTTCGTTGAGCTTGAGGAGGGCCAGGGCGACTTGGAAGAGAAATGTGCTGCCGTCGTTGGTGCAGAGGACGACATCCCAGACGCGGAAGAGAGCCTCGGCGCTTAGACAGTCGGTGAAGACGGAGAGGAACCACTGGAAAGTCAAGGCCTCGAGCTCAATGGATAGAGAGTCGAGATGTGCTGAGAGCTTGGGAAGAATTGCTGAAACATACTGTCGCAGCACCTGTTGATCTGCGCGGGAGGCCATGAGTGAGTGGTCGTAGTAACCATGAGGAAGGATATTCTCGATGATTGAAGTAAGAATCCAAAATGCGTCCTCAGCAGAAGGCATCATGAGCAACAAGTTGGCAGCAATCAAATTCATTCCCTGGCAGTACCCCACGTCCTTGTTGCGTCTGGAGTACGCCAACAAGACTTCGTTCAGCTTCTTGACACCAGGTCCCTTACGGAAGAAGATGTTGTCCGTCAAAGTTCTGTTGATGTCCATCTGAATCTGACTAACAACAACAGCATCGTCGTCCTCGCCGGTCTGAGCAACCAAGTCTTCATAATATCCAGGGACACGAAGGGCTGCAGCTCCTGAACATTCTGACCACACCTTGGCGCGATAGGTGACAGGAATACCGCCCAAAACCAGGGTTTTGAATTCGTTCCATTTAGCTCGTCCAACCTTTCCTTTGACGCCAAGTCCTGAAACTCCAATCATCTCACCATCGGCAACTCGGGTTTCAGGAAGGATCATGGCAGGTTGTTCGTAGCGAGCATCAGCAGCTGACTTGGCGGCAGCAATAGCGGCTTCGCCCTCCCGCTTGCGTTCCGCGCGAACCTTTCGAAGAAAGTCATTCCATCGAACTGTCTTTTCACGCTGAAGAGCATCGTGGACATCGCTCAGTTGCTGCAGGAGCAGCTTCACAGGTTCGGTATCGTCCTTGGTGAGTGCGATGGATGATTCAGACTGAGAGGGCTGTGAGGTCTCACTGTCTACTGCAGTAGTTGTGCTAGCTGATGGAATAAGACCAGAGTTGGTTGAAACAATTACTGGCTTGACAGGCTCGGTGGGGTATAGCTCTGGCTCAGGTGTTTGAGCTCCCTCCATGACCTCGATTGATGGTATCGCGATGCTTGGTGTGTGACTGAGGAGTTCGGTGGGAAACGTTGCGATTTTGAGATAATCCGTCCATCTCTTAGCTTTGCCCTCTTCCGCGTTACGCTCCTCCATGCTGTTCAGGCTCTCAGGACGTCCCTCGCTCGACACACTTCCCTTGGGGCTGGGAAGATCCTCTAATGCATTAGGTGAGATGCCACCTCGGCCGTTTGCAAGCATCTCTGTTCGACTGCCCTTACGAATATGTCGAGCCACCTGCGCCGCCTCGCGTTGTCGTTTCTTGCGTCGCTGGTCGTATATGAATCCAAACCGGTCCGTCAGATATTCGCTGTTCGGAAAGTTGTTATAAATATGTGTTAATGTCGGTGGCTGTGACTCTGGCGATCGAATGGCATCCATCTCCACAGGCCCATAGCTCTCTTGTCGAGATGATAAGTTATCCGGAGGACTGCCTCGCATGCTATCCCACGCTTCTTGCCCTTGTGATCTTCCTGACCCTTGAGCAGATGGTCCTGGAGTCGCTTTACGCATCGCCATCAAAGCCTTGGGACCACCAGCAATCGACACTGCTCGGGACTGACCCGCGCGGCTGCTTGTAGTCGAAACAGCTCGGAGAGAATCACCCTTGTTGGAAGTAGTGCTCGTAGCACGGCCTCTAGATTCAGCCTCGCGTGTACTTATAGCTCCGCCCGCCACTAAACGAAGGGCCATGCTTGCAAGCGATGACGATGCTTTGCGCTCGCCGGTTGCGCCTGATTGAATACTTGACGCACGGCTTGGACTTCGAGCAGATTGCGTGTCTGGAGGGTTGAAGAGATCCTCCTGCAGCGTTGGTCGTCGGTCCATACTAGAGTGCGATCGAATCACAGTCGCAGGGTTCACTCCTTCGCCGTTCATGCTGTTCGTACGGCTACCTCGTTTTGCGGTTCCAGAGCCCCAGAGATAATCTTTCCACCCCTTTAACGTGCCCTTGCCGCTGCCGTTCTCGCTAGGGTTGCTGAAAGACTGGCTGCTTGCGCGGATGGTAGAGCCCTTAGCGACTGTCTCGCCGTACGCAGTAGCCACTACGGTGTCTTGCATCGCATCACTCATGAGGTCGCTTAATCCAGTATCCTCTCTCCGGAGTCCCTTATTGGCCGCGCGTAGCTCAGCCTCAACAGTCCGTAGGCGAGTTTCAAGATCCAGGTTAGAGAGGCCGCATTCTCGAATGATTTTGCGCAAGGCCCGTTCTCGTTCATCAGCGCGGCGGCGCATATTGGCGATCTGGGCATCTCGTTGTGCGAGGTCTTCGGATATTTGTCTGACCAGTCCAATGGCGCCGTGCCGCGATATCAAGCGTTGAAGATGTTCGTCATCGGCGTTATGTAACGAGCCCGGAACCTTGCGCACCGGGTGATCCTCTTCGAACAAGGCACTTCGCACATCTGAGCTTCCAGTCAGATCAACTATCGAACTGCGCCCAACATCCGGGGCCACAACCGGAGGAACGGGAGTGTCGTCGGGTGCATCGTCTTGTCCGCTGAGGGGATCATTGCCTGGGCTTTCAGGTGAGAAGCTAGGAAAGCTTGTGAGACTCTTGTCGCTAGCAGCAATACTGCTCGCAGAGCTAACAGGCTGACTGGGACGTTTTCGACCGCGAGGGCCTCTGACAGTTGCGCTTCGGTTGCTTCTGGAGCTTCGGTTCGAGGTGTGGGACACGTGAGAGGCGTGTGACGCATATGAGGCGCTGCTGTGCTGGGAGACGGACCTTTGGAGTGACGACATAGGGTCGGCCGCTTCCATGGCCGTCGCCATAGCTGAAGGGATCGAATCGTATTGGGGTTTATGCTTGTCTAGGGACAAGACAGGCAAAATGCTAGGAGAAAAGATGAAGAGGAGGAGAACGAGAGAACGAGAGAGCAAGCAATCGATCAATCAATCAATCAATAATGAAGGGTGTGGGTTGCACAGACGAGGGAGGGTGTGCGATCGAAAAGGCAACCGAGGGGTTTGTACTGGGTACATGTGCTTTTGCATGGGGATGAATGGAAGCTGTCGATATGATATTAGGTAAGATATCACAATATTCACACAATTGCGATGAAGAAGCTGGAAGCAGCTTTGAATCAGAAAAGCAGTCAAAGCAAATCATTAAAAAACATTCTGTTGTCTTTGCAACCATTGAATAATGTCTTAAAATTACCACCTATGAAGAAAGAGTCAGAGCAACCAGGCTACGCCTCTTCAAAGTATCTGTACCTGTAACCCCAGCACTTGGGTAAAGTCCAGATGCTTTATGCCCTTTTAGGTCGTCCGGGCTTGTTGCTCCTCCGCAAAACTGATTGGCTCCCAGGGCATCATCTATCATCTTTAGGGAGCCCAAGTCGCCCTACCGCACCAACCCGCCCTGAATTTCTAGCAGGCATTGATGGATGATACCGAACCGAAAAGAAGCGATAAACCCAACGTCAAGATGAAAGGACGTTGATAGACAAATGATTTCCCTAATTTACAACCACGCCAAGATAACTCCTTTGTTTTAACAAATACACTATTTTCCTATCAACCTCTCATATCAAAAGGGTACCTGACGCTCGTCTCCACCGGTTGGGTTCCCTTTCCCTTTTCTTCAAGCCCAAGGGGCACCGCACCACCACCAACGAAAAAAAGCTTGTTATTTAACTACAAAACCGCCAGCGCAAAAAGCTGAGCTCAGACATGATCACTTATAAGCTCGTGCACATGAGATAGATTTCATCTCCAGGGCCATCCCAGCTAGACTACGCCTGGCCAACAGCCCGAAGATTCCCGCACCCTGGACAATTCCAGAACATTTCGTACCCCAGCCCAGCAAGGATGCTGATGTCTGACTCGTCAGTAAAACACATACAATGTGGCTTGTTTCTACTGGAAGGAAAGAAAAGAGTCAGAAGTGTTTGCCGTACCTTGTATCACGCGACCATTGTCCAGCTTTGAGAGCTTGAACAACCTTGATAGAAGCTTCGTAACTTTATTAGTGAAGCTCCCAAAATGGAGTGCGTATCTCTGACGTCGATGAGGCTGCACCATGATCAGCGTGACTTCATCCTGCAGCCAATTAATATTCTGTTACAAGGTACCCTTGAAGATTACCGTTTTGTACCTGATACTTTACCGAGTGGACGCGTT